GTATTGAACTGCCTCAGGTATTGAACTGCCTCAGGTATTGAACTGCCTCAGGTATTGAACTGCCTCAGGTATTGAACTGCCTCAAGTCACGGCCGGCTATATCAGTATCTCATTCCGCTCTACAATCCTGAAATCTTCCATACCTCAAACCTCAAACCCCAATCCAACTTCAAAATGCCGAAACTCAACAAAGCTGGGCGCAAAGCCCCAAGACCACAGCCGTATCCGAAAAAGGATCCTAAGAAATCATCAGACACCATCAAGAACAAGAGTCACCCACAACCCGATTCTCCCTTTCTCAATCTCCCATCCGAGACAAGACTAACAATCTATGGCTATTTTCTCCAGACCAAGCCACACCCGCCCACAGTCATTGATTTCCCCGCGACGAGGAGTCAGGCTAAGGCTTTGATTGATGGCAATCTAGTCGCTTCATTCGCTTCCTTGGAGGAGTCAAGAAAACGCCACGACAGGGAAATCTCAATTACTAGGAAGTCCCTCAATCTGGTCTGCCGCAAGATTACTGCCGAATGGTCGCCACTCTTTTATCGTACCACCACCATCACCGTCCACCGAGCAAAGACAAAGTGGGTCGGTTATCATACTGCCAGGTACTGCAATCCGCCCAGCTTTGCCCATGACTTCCTCCGCGTCTTGCACCCTTCAAAGCTAGCTAACATCAAGAAGATCGCTTATGACGTTCCAAAGGACGATGTACACTTTGTCGCTGACTTTCCCAAACATCTTGTCAAATACATTAGCAAACTCACATCCCTTGAGTCGCTTTCCATTCGCTGCGATCCTCACAAACGAGAAAGTCACCTCTGGATTTCAACATGTTTCATTCATTCACCAAAATCTATCGAAATAGATACCTGCGTCCGTCGCGAATCTCCTGTTACGTCAAAGTGCTACTGGGAAGATATCGAGCTATTCTTCCTTGGACTCGGCAAGAATAATACAACCTTGCCAGCCAAGAAGCTGGGCGCAGGCATTTTTGAGGGCTGGGACCTGAAACGAACACTTTTCCTGAAGACTTTATGGCAGCCAGAGGGCAGTAACCACTGCGGAATGATAGGTGATGACGTGGAATTCGTTTTTCATAAACCCAAAATGACCGCGACTGGACAAGCAACAGAATTAACGGTGACTTCTAAGCTGTCTTTGGAAAACTGGATGGGCAATCTCCAGCCGGTTGACTCTCGCAACCGTAATTATTATGACCGTGTATGGTTGTAAATTGCATAGCAACGAGATGCTTATACAGCGAAATTATCAACTCTCGTCTATGAGATGATGCTTCCCAAATAAGCCCGGTCAATGGTCCAAGCTTTGGGATGGATCAGCTTTGTTTGGCTTTGAAAAGCATTGGCTGTCACTATGATCCCACGCATGTTTTTTATGTTTGATTACAAATACCATGATGAGAATACTTTCTTACCTATCTACACACTCTCCCGTTATTCAAGTCGAAATGATACTGAAAATTTTGAAGATGCAGACAACCCAACTTCTGTCAGCAGTAATGCCAACAACAAAAGTCAGTCACAATGACCAAAAGGGAATTCAAGCACGTTTGATTCAGAGGCAAACACATACAAGGGCAAGTCCAGATCCGGCTACTGCTTTCAATATATCAATAATAGGATGCCATTCCACAGCAGGCCCTGGATGAACTCGAAACTCTCTTGCTTACTATATCTTTTCCATCGTAGGCAGGCCCCCTTGCAAGCGCATTCGCGTATTGCCAAAGCCCACCCATTCCTCTCTTCTCACTTCATCGGTAGACTGGACGAAGCGCTATAATCTTGAGCTATCACAGCATCTATCGCCCTCCATACGACAGCTACGTTTCTACCTCTCAATTGGAGGCAACCCTAACCCCGTCAGCATACACATGTTCTCGATCTTTGAATGCAGCTTTAAAATGACAATGGCGATGGAAAACTGGTGTTGTATCCAGCCACAAGGTGAAGTCCCGGCGTCGTTGCAACGAGATCTCACTGTTTTCATGTTGTCGCGGACCCATTATTGTCGCGGTGACGTGTGACAAACGGGCAGTGAGATCGACTGCCTCGTGCGCTAGCGCTAGCGTTACTGCCTGGGGAGCAATAATCTATCTTCTACCTGCCTTCTGATTCATTTCTATATATCACTAAAATATTTTTACGATTCTAGAGATGCACTGAGCGCAGAAGTCATCCACGAAAATTGGCTGTCAATACCTCCATTCTTGAGTACCCGCGGCTTCGACTCTACCAGATCTCGCATGAGCTCGAGTATTCATTTCAACAGAATGCCTGTATCCATACCCAATGGAGAGCCCGATGGTGAGATTCGCAGCAATCAGCCAGCCCCCGATGCCACTTCATCCACTTGCCCAGAGACACCAATAGCAGCCGCAGTCACCCCAAAATCCACAGATCCATCGATTGAAACGGTTTTTATATCTACCGACCCTGCCCGACTCGATGGAGAAATCGTGCAATGGGTAAAAGCGGCTCCTTATATTCAAAATCGTGTAAAGACGGCCGATGAAATGTTATCATCAAGAGAGCTTGTACTGCAGAGCGTCAATTATCTAGCGAACAAACGAGCCCGGATGCAACCCAAAGTGCCATCAACACCTTTTCGCTTCGTTGACCTTCCATTGGAAATCAAGAACAACATATACGACGCATTCTCAACATTCCTTGAGCAAGGCTTCCACTTATCACTCTCAGACATTCTAGCTTCCTCCCCTCGGTACCACGAATCATTGATATACACAGAGTACCCCGAGGATGATGCAGTGCCTGAATATCGTGAAGAAGATGCCATATCTGACAATGACCGCCTGAAAAATGCAAACAAGATCGTCGCTGTTGACAAATTGAACGAATCTGATAAGCAGAAGAGCAAGACAACAACACCTGTTCGCTACGTGAGGCGCGCTGATGAGCAAAAGCTTTCCATAACGGCAGACTCAGTACCCATCATGATCACCAGACGATCACTTCTCAGCGTGTCTCGTCAAATTCACAAGGAATAGGCACCAAAGTTCTCCGAAATCACCTCTGTTGCTATCAACACTCTCAGGATGGGCAGAGTGAACCACATTGCGAAATTCTTACAAGAGAAGAAGTCTGTTTCCATCGTCATGGAGTTTGAGTTATTGTATCTGCGAACGCTCAAGTCTCAGAAACTCAATACCATCCGAAATATCACTTACAACGTCAGCAGCGCCCGCCATTATTCCATATTCGATTTCTTAGAGCTCTACAGCTTTGCTCAATTGTTCTCAAAGTATGCGCCCACATTCGACCAACTTGATTCGGTGACGTTTGAGTATTATCCATGCTACTGTCATACGCACTTCAAACCGCAATTACATGGCGATGATCTCGAAGATCACCTTCGTGACATCTGGAACGGCATGACCTGCGATGCGAAATGGCGAAAATTGGAGGAGTGGTTCGGTGGGGATCGTTCAACACAAAGTCCAAGATGCTGGGTTTCCCAAAGAAACATTTACACTGAATTCCCCCAATTCGTGACCATGGGAATGATGAGATTGTTCGGTCTGGCTCTTTTGCTAAAGAATGTGAGCGTGTCACGTTTGCCGATACCTGAGGTAGTTATCAGAGATTTCAAGCACACAGCCTTCGAAGAGACATATAATGATTCATTGGACCAATCAAGCTGCATCTACGATGATCAGATCGATGGAGAAGAATGAGTATGGCACGACTTTTAGTGTTTGCAGTGAGGAATTATGTGGATACGATGAGCTCGAAAGCATTATGAAGGTGGTTGGATAATAAGTGGATGACCTGCCATCTATACACTGTGAAATTAAAATAGTGTGGGAGCAGATCTTTGACTAGCTCTGGACCTTCAACACACGGTTGACTGAGGACTAGGCACAAATACGATTAATGAGTTTCGCTAATGCGACCCGTTACAAAGACCCTGGCCTTCAGACGCAGGCAGTGTAGGATTTTCATGTTTATGTTTAGATTTCTTAGCAACTTAATACCAGTGGGAGACTACGATAATACCAATCCACCGGTTCATTCTGTTTCATATTGCTGCTCTTTGACAGACAAAGAAGGATATGTACAGTTCCTTAATCCCTTTGTCACGTCGGCGCTTGACCTTGCGCAAATGGTTGTACCTTTTGTCAGACTCATGAACCTTACCTTCAATCTCCTGCATCTAATATTGGACTTTGATTAATCGAGCATTGAGCATACAATATTGTTCTTAATCAGATGAACCGCAATCCTTATCCCTAGAATTAGTCGCTTCGTGATCACTTCATGAATTTCGAAAAGTCGGCGTCTGGCATTCTACGCGCTTGAAAGCTGAGGCAGTAGTCTCACGGTATAATCAAAAATGCAAAATCAAACATAGTTATATATGATATTGCTAGAGCTTGAGATGGTGTTTGACAGGCCTCGGAGTGAGGCAGTCAAATTTGAGTTCAAGTCTTGGCAAGGCTGCATTCGAAAGGGGTTAGTTCCAAGCACAGATCCAACTGCCTCGCCATCTCACAACCTATAAAGAGATCTGCTTCTTGACCAAAACTGTTTTATCCTTTGCTAATTCGAACAGAGCGAATGTGCCGAGACACTATGGATCATTTTAACACGCAAAGAGTTACCAGCCTTGGCAAGAGAGCACGTGCTGCGGGCGAGAACGATGGAGAATAGTTCAATACACCAGAGATGAGGATTGGTGCCAAGCGTCCTCGACAAGAGCTTGAATCCGGGATCACGTTGGATCAATTGAGCATGAGCAGAGATCTGGAGCAGGCAAGCATGTTACAGGGCGATTTTACCCACAAGAACCCCGAGGCAATGCTCGGCATCTCTCAGCATGGCACGGACGATAGTTGGAGTGATAGGAGAGAACACGATACCGCTTGCGAAGAGAAAAACTGGGCCCATCGCAGCACAAAAGTTACGAATTGGAGTATAGACGATGCAGAGACAACTGATCTCGAATTGGCAGAAATGATACAAACAGTATCGATGGTCGTGATTGAGTCCAAGAAACCTCCCAGATTGTCGTGCCTGCTTGACGAAAATGAGATACTTCTGCCACAAGAAGGAACTCTTGGTCAAGACTAAAATCAGATCCGACGACGGGTGATCCAACGAACAGATCTGTATGTGCAAATCATCATCGATGAGCTCAACAAGATCGGGCTTAGATGACTTCTAAAAAGCTCCTTTCGCTCGGCTTGCTCAACTTTCCAGCAGAACAACGCCTGAAACTTTGCTTTTCACGCCTCGCAATTCAAAAAAAATGGCAAAATCATAAGCTAGTATTTGAGAGAGAGGCTCACCATTACAATTCGTGGTTCAAAATGATAGACATCTTCTCCATATTCACTCTCCATCGAGGCTTGAGAGTTCCAGGTTCGGACACCAGTGATCGTCGGTCATTGTCAGCTGAACCTGCCCAGATGAAGCTGCAACAGAAAAACGATCTGAGATGCCAAAGAGTCAAAATTTCCTTAGAATAGGACCTTGATTTGAACCCCAGACTTTCTGTAAGCTATGTAGACAGGTCCCAGATCTTGAAAAGCTGTCGTACCACGCTGAAACTCATATGTCCTCCGAGGGAACTGGAGAACGAGATCTTTCAAGTGATTCCAAGACCAAACAAATAATGCGTTCATCTTGCACCACACAGGATTTGAACCCCCGACAATTTCCAAAAAATAAATCTAACATATGTCTATCTGTTTCAGATACACACTGAAATGATTCCGAGTTCTGAAATCAAGTACTGCCCACTGTCAAACCTGTCCGAGTTCTGAACGAGCTTAGAGGGTTTCTTAGATTTATGACCAGATTTCAAGGACTTAAATATATGACCCTGTGTCTTGAGCTCGTGTGTCCTGGGGGGCGCCCGTTACTGCTTTGGTCCAGCCGACTGAGGCAGTGATTGTACCTTGGCACTAGTGAGATTCTCTGCTTTTACTAGTGGACGCCCTTGATGAAAGGCTTTAAGTTGTTCTTTATCATTCTTCTGATTCTGTTCCTCTTCCTCAATGTCCCTTTTCATGATAACAATCCTTCAAAATGGCTTCCTCTCACAAAGATACAGAGCATCATGACGTGCCCCCGATCGCAAAACAACAGACCGGCAAGCAACAACGCCGTCAACAACGATTGGAGGCTTACAACGGATGCAAGGGACTTGCATGCGTTACCCTTGATTCCACTCCTACCACTTCAGCAGCTGTCGAAGATAACCCCATAGACTATGGCAATAACAGACTTCTCACAGGATTCTGGTTCACTGCGCCATTAGCCGAGCAGAATGTGCCGCCCGAAGATCTCACTGGCACACCTTTGCACGTCCAGATGAAATTCAAGGCCCTGGAGAAGGCTCTGAAAGGGTATAGGGACAGACAGCGAAACATTCAGAAGGCTTTCCATTATCGAAACATGGTGAAGAATCAGCAAGTGGAGGATGTTCAAGCGGAAAACAAGGCTCTTGAAGCAAAGTACCACAACCTGAAAGCGGAGTTCGAGACACTCAAAACCCAACCTGGTGAGTTGCAAGAAAAGCACATCATTCGAGAACAAAACGCTTATGGTGTGACCAAGAGTCGACACATAGCGCTCTCTGCTGAATTTGAGGGACTTCAAAGCGAGCATGAGCAGCTGAGAATCAACTACGAAACAAAATTGGATCAACATGTCGCAGATCAGAAAGCAATCCACCGCTACAAAGAACAGATCAGGAACCTTGAACTGCGCCTCAAAAGAAAAGATGAGCACTTGACCACCATGAAGCAACGAGAAGTTCGACAAACCCAGAGAGACATGCAAGTGAAGATGAAAATGGAGGAGAAGTACAACGAACTCGTCCATCAACATGAGAAGTCCGAACTGGAGAATCAATTGCTCAGGGAAGAGGTCAAGCTGCTCAGCGAAACGGCTGAAAATCTCATCGAGGCGAAGGTGAAAAGATGGCACGACAAGAGAGCAGAGGAACTCCGACCTTGAGGGTGTTGCTTCAAGAAGTGTGGCAAATACATGAACAGACGCCTCGACCCGGTTGATCGACAGACAGGCAAGTGGATAGTTGGATTTAACAAGTTCTATGTCAGTGTATCGAGGGGTATCAAAGAAGTTTGATGGTCATAGTTCAACTTCTGGTGAAGCCGTATGTCAGTGAGCACAACGAATATCATAGGTAGAAACAGAAACTCCGACTTCATTGATTGATCATCTACAACTAGTAGTTTTTGTGGAAAGAAGCTTGAACTTTTGTGGCTTGCTTCTTGACAAAGATACATTCAACGATAATCTATTACGATGTCGCCCTCCACGATATTCCACCTTCCACAATCCGCCATGACACCTTCGTCTCCCGAAAGAGTGAATTCCAACGAACTTTAGGCCATAAACGCCCCTCGCTCCACGATTGGTGGGTATTTGTAAACACTTTGGATGTGCCTCTTTGCGAGACGTCTTCTTGTACCACTGACCAAATGATAGGTATCAATGAGATGAGGGAAATTACCTAGGTATCTAAATGAATACGATATTAAGCTACTTAACCAGCGATGCGATCCAGCTCCAAGGCTGTATCTCTGCCTGCCTTTCTTCCCATCTCCAAGGCACCATCAATGTAGCCAACCCAACCAGTTGCCCAATCTGCATTGGCCAGGATGATTCTATCAGACAGCCTCGGGTTCATCGTGATCTCCCCCAACCCGCCACTCAGCTGTTTTGGGCCGTAGGATGCCCATGCACCTTTCGCAAACTCATCACGTGTCCAGTCGTGCCAGGTTATATGAGTAGGCTCGATACGGACTGACTTTGGGACAACATCATTCTGTAGGGCGAGAATATATGCCTTTGGATTGTCCTTAATATGGTGCTGCGCGATGAGTTTGTCAGAGATGCCGAAGGACACCAGATGCGTTCCACCCTGAGCAGATGGAGACTCTGTGAAGACGGCACAGACAGAGTGATTGCCATCACTTATACCAAACCACGGATCTACCGACAAAGACGAGTGTATATGGACCTTGGCACCGAGGTTTGCATGTTTAGTTGTCTTAAAGGCCTGTGGTAGAGACGGGGAGAATTCCACGTCGGATAGGCAGTGGAGGGGGATAGTGCAAATTACATGCTTCGCGTGAAAGACATCTCCGGCTTTTGTAGCCACCTCAACCTCTCCATCGGTGCTCAGCACAGACTTTACAACGCGATTGAACAGAGAGGCACCCTTATACTCTGAGTAAATCGCTGACGCCAGTGTAGTCGTGCCCTCCTTCAGCTTCATTTTCCCGCAGATTTCCATGAAAGTGTTGAAATCATAGCCCGAGAGAGCATACAGTCTCAACATGTTGAGGAAGGAGCTTTCAGCCGCAGAAGAACAAGCGTTGATGCAAAGCCACGATAGGAGAAAGTCACGGTCTTCAATGCTGATATCGAGCTGGTCGGCACGCTCCTGTAGGCTGATATCCCACGAGGTCCACAAATCAGCACACTGCATCGGCTGATAGGGTTGAGGGAACAACGTCCGGCCACCTGCTCCATCGATGTCCATAAATTTAAACATTAGCGGTAATAGGCGTAGGTCGGTTATCTCCGGCCGTTCCTTGACGAAGCCGTCCTTGGTGTCATTGAGATAAGACACATCGGCTTCATTAGACGTGCCCGAACTAATCTTGACCCCATCTACAAGACCGTACCGCGTTACTTCAGCCCAAACATGTGGCTGAAGCCAATGGATCCAGGTCCCTCCCATTTCTGTGTTGTGGCCATCGACCTGAGCTGTCCATGTGCGGCCACCAATGCGGTCGCGTGCCTCGAGCAACAGCACGTGTTTCCCCGCTACGGAGAGATCTCGCGCGGCTGCAAGGCCGGTGAAGCCGGCCCCAATTACGATTGCATCGTAAGATCGACCGATGTAATTGGATGAGGGTTTCACTGCTTGTGTTGCTAGGCCGGCAGTAACGAGGTTTCTCGAGACATCGTATCGGTAGCCTTCAGACGAAGCTACGGGGCCGGCTGAGCTCGACATTTTCAGCAGGGTAGCTGTGAAAGCCGAATGCGAACGGTATATACGAGCGAAGAAGGTGCCTTAGATTTAGTTTTGAACGATGGTTTCAGCTTGGCTTAGGCCGTGTAAGTGGAGGGCGATTTCATTTGCGATTCCGAAGCATCACATACTGCACCCGGAAATTCCGTGTCTCCTTCCGAATTGTCCGCTGTCAACGAGCGGGCGTTTAGTCAATTTATTATTGTCCTCTATTAATACTCTGGTAGAAGATAGGGCCTTAAAGCCTAACAAGCAATTCGTTTACGCTCTTCAGTGGTATTAACTCCTAGGCAGTAATAAATACCTACTGAGTCCCCGACTTTAACTATAGGGGATTATTTAAACGAGCCGCAGCCGCCCTCTGGCCGACTTCATGCTACTACTTATCAGTACCTCTGTCATTCTAAGAGGCGCAAAATACTGGCTTGACCACGAACACTGGAGCTCTTCAGTTCAAAGACCAGGCCTCCTACTTCGCATCCCGACCCTTTGTTCAGACATGTCCCGCACCACCGGCTTGACTTGGCTAGATTGCCGAATCTCTGAGTCTGTAGGTACCTCGCTCATCTGGCTTGAGTGGCTATGGTCGCGACTAAAGCGTTTTGGCAGAAATGGGCAGCAGGCAGAAATTCTGGTGCCAAATGACACATTCCCTTCCATGTACTGACACCAGTCCACTTGTTGATGTAGAAGCATTAGTACCATGTTGTTCTTGGCGGTTAGATACGCCAAGTGGAAACATGTGTTCAATCTCCGTACCTCAGGTGAGAAGAGATAGCAATGTATAGATTACGGCATGGCTCTTGAATCGACAACACTCTATGTGGTTTGGATCATGTCCCAGAGCCTCACCAACCGAAGTGGGTCAGCAGATACTAAGTAGGCGGAATTGTACCGGAATCGCGGAACCCACCAATGCTCAGACTTGGATTGATCGTTGCCACAATTTGTTATGCGCTTCTCAATTTGCATCTCGCAAGAGTGCAGCGTCGTCCATTCTGGACTGGTCGCCAACGTCTACAGACTCTTATGTCGACTCCCGCAATAGGCAAGAGGAGATCTCGGGGTCAGCATAGCCCGTGTCTTGCTAACCAGCTATCCGTTGCCCAATGTGCTGATATCCGCTAGAGGGTTGCGCCCAGTGCAAGAAACAGGAGTTTCGAGGTCGGAATCTCGACACGAGGACTTTCCATTTCCATCTATGGACCTGAGCGTGGCCCTGAGCCTCGCTGCCTCAATCTGAGATGCTCCTGTACGTGACTGAGCATAGTGGTAGTCGGCCAAAGTAACGGATTAATCGCGGCCACAATCTAGGCTAGGGGAGCCTACAGTACCCATAACTTGGCACCGGATTTCAAGGTGACGTAATGGTCACAAAAGTTCCCTTTCTCTAAAGTGGGTCAGTCTGGGTCAAGCCTGACCATTATCCTACTTCCCCCTTGCGTTTCCGCATCGCCATCGAGTCTTAAGTGCTTCATTGCTCAGGCATGTTGGCGCTTGCACTGTTATTTTTGGTGGCAAGGTAGATTCAGATATCCTTGTATCCTGAGGTACCTCTCAGTCCTCTCGCAAGTACATAGTGTATGAGTCTGGTGTTGCGCCGCCAATAGGCTCAATGGCAAATAAGTCCTATTGCGGCAGAAATAACGCCATAATTGGGTTATTTCTGTTGCTCTTTTTTACACCTCTGTACTCCAAAGCTTCGCAGTGCACTCAGTCACAGCTTAACGATTGTACAGTCACATGACGTGGTCACGTGAATTATCTTGGTGCGATCACTGAGACGCACACGACCCTTTTTTCCTTCTCTGAGGTAGATTTCCTTCCTTCTTTGGTTCAGTCAATGATCAGTTCATTCAGTTCGCTCTGTTCTCTCTGTACTCTTTACATCTGGCAAGGGCCAATTAGGTGGAGGTGGGCTACAGCAAGCGCAGGACCATTTGACTTCTTCCTTTTTGCTCTTTTTCGAATCGGATTTCACCCCGAGGTCGTTCGCCCCGCTGTTTCTGCTTCCTTGACTACGGGTAAGCTAAGAAAGTCTACTCGCACGGATTACACTGACGGCGGATAGACCTTCTATACTCTGTCATGATTCCGTCTTCCAGTCAAGCTGAGGGCTTGTCAAGCGTGTCTTCCAGACTAGACTGCGTTGAGCAAAACAACAACCAGAATCTGCCCAATAAGCGCCGCCGCAGGCTTTCCGATGACCAATACATTCACCCTGGACCAAGCCCATCAGGCCAGAACAAGTTTCCGACAACATCGAGCAGCAGAATAATTGAAGGCTCACTTGGAAGCAACCAAAATGCTCCCGGGATCAAGATAATCTTCCCTCAACATACCGAAGAAACATTCGGAAAATACACTCAGGACCAGGGCCTAGCTGTTGTGCCCATGCACCGAGAATTTTCGCATGGTGACGCCCGGTTCACGCACATTGGGGAATTAGGTCGCGGCAGTTCTAGTACCGTTGACAAAGTCGAGCCAAGTGGTGGCATATTTCTTCCCGGCAAAATCTACGCACGGAAAGCGTTCACCATAAGGCGCCGTCAGTCCACATCCCACGAACTCGCCCTGCTCGATATGGCACGAACACTTCTACACCCGAACATTCTCACGACAATCATGACTTACGAGGAGGAGGGTGACGCCCACAGCTCACAGTACGGCATAATTTTGAATCCAGTGGCTGATTGCACGCTTCGAGCCTTCTTAGAAAGGGAAGATGGGGCCAGCGACATTGGGGAAGCCGCTGCAAAACGCGTGGCAAAGTGGCTGGGCTGCTTGGGAAGCGGATTAAGCTATCTGCATGCCAAAAACCTAATTCATAGACGAATTTCGCCATCAAGCATTCTGATAAGAGGGGAAGAAATATTTTTTGCCGAATTTGCCATCTCAAATCACTTTAGAGCAACAGAAAGATTGGTTGAGGACTCTTCGAGGGCAAATGCGATCTGGGAGGTGTACCAGGCGCCAGAAGCCCAGACACAGCAGCTGTTGGGCACGAAAGCTGATATATTCTCCTTAGGATGCGTTTTCATTGAGCTACTAACATCCGCCTCTACGATGCCGCTCAAGACCCTCCAGGATTCGATCCGACAACAACCTTTCCCAACTTACCGCCACTGGATCACAAAAACTCTGGACTGGCTTGCTCAAATTCAGAGCCAGCTCACACTCCCCACTCTCCGTCGCTTCAGCCCATACTGCGAGAATATGCTCAAATTGAATCCAAGTACCCGCCCGTCTGCTTTCGCAGTCACAAGGTTCTTATTCGATTCCAACCCGAAGCTTTCAGAAGGGTTTGAAGCGACGAAATCAGTCTGCGACTGCCTTTTACCTTGGCTGGGCAAGTCTGACGAACAGTGTAGAGTATTGATGTGTGTATCCCTTGGTCTCGAGAAAGCAATGTTTAACATTTCCTTAGCTCACTACCGGGAACAAGCCGCAGCGCCCTGGGTCCAGATGCATTGCCGCCGCCGGGCCGATACCAGTTACCTACGGACTCGTACGTCTTCCCCCATCCAGTAGCTTGCCTCACGGCTCACAAAGATCAGCCTTACAGGAAACAAAACTTGTTCTTACTGTCCCCAAACGTTCGACAACCCTATAGATGTTTTCTTTCACGTGGCTACACAGCACCGTGACAAAACTGTTCGGGACGAAAGCTTGGTTTGTACTTATGGCGAATGTGCCGGTAGACCCCCATTCCTAGACGAGCGTCAATATCAAGATCATCAACACAACTTTCATCGCGAAGGTTTCCTTCAAACATCAGACGATACACGCCAAGGTACATCTCGGGACGCATCCCAAGGGAGGATGGAAACGTGAGGACCAAGATCCGGGACCGGATGTAATGTCAGAGACAAACCTGAAGGGCGAATCTAAGTTATCATGTTCGATTTTTAGGTGTAATATAGGTGTACTCTCGGAGACATTGGCTTTGCGATGGATGATACGGGGACATTTGCAGCCCGCAAGCGAGCATTGTCTGAGTGTGGATTTTGGGTGATGCTCCCTTGTCTGTTGCGTGGCCGCCGATTCGGTATTCACCGCTGAGAAGATGTAGCATGCACGGAGTAAGGCGGTGGAGATAATGACTGGTGAAGTCTATGAGAGTAAATTCGGCCAACATTCTTATCTACCTCTATGATCGGATAGTGACAGACCGAGGCTGAGGAAGAGGCCGGGATCAGTGTAGAATAATATAATGACTGCGTTGACGGCAAGTCCGATGACACCTTTGATCAAGTGGTTTGGTTCTTCAATTTTGCGTGCCATATCGGGGAAGCGCCGTCCGAAACAAGCTATCATCATTCCTGAACGAGACTCATACCGGATATTACAAAGCTTTGATTCGAGAGCGACCTTTGGGCCCCCGTCACGGTGTGGTAAGCAGCCGGCCCTGAGCCGACGTTGAGCCGGGCGCGAGCCAGCCTGTGCAAAAGCGGCGCGAGGTCACGTAGGGCAAGAGGGAAGCAGGCGTCGAGATTCCGGTCATGAAACAAATAGTTCTAATTTTTTGCAATTGCGAGCACTGTTACCCCTTGTAGCACTTTCGTTGTGGCGATTCTCAACCAGAATGCAGTCAGTATATCAGGAGGGGTATCACATGTTCGGGTTATGTCAAACCATTGCGTGGTCTTTTTTGGAGGCGTGTGGACTCTGTGCAGCCTGCCGGAGGATCACTTTGCTATGCATGTGTAGAAAAGGGGCAATGGGTCTACGCAGTGTTGAATCAAACGCCGAGCTGGAGGCATTGGTGCGACAACCTGCGAGCATTCGACACCACCTACTCTGCAATGATGTCCCATCTCTTGGGGTTCTGGCGTCTTCACGTCACCCGCAGCGCTGTATTGTGTTTGCAGGTTGGTGCCGTTCTCGACATTGCTCCGCATAACGTGTGCAGTAAGTTCCCAGTGATGCAAGGTCAACCTGTGCAAGCATTGCATGGAATGGCGTCCTTGAAGTCGAGATGTTACATCAAAGGGACTATGTGTTATGCGGACAGACGATTCGCTATGTCTACAGACTGCCTCCCAGCTGTTAGATTTGTCGGGTTTCTGTCCCTTCCTAAGTGAGTATACTTGTCATTGAGGAGGTTCTCGGTTCTCGGCTTGTACTGTGGGAGAATGCCTGTGCTCTTTCTGCTCGCAGGTCGTTCTTACGCCTATGCATGCATTGTATAGTTGCTTATCTATTCTCCGAAGCACCTTTAGCTAACATTGCCGAATTAATAATCTACCTTTCATTAGGCTCGGAAGCACTTAGTGACACGCCATAGTAAACCATATACAAGCATTTTGCAGGTTAACTTTGTTGTGGCTTTCTGTGTCATATGATCTATCGACCGGCAGTACGCAACTATGGAGATGCTGTCCTCCCACACTTCCAATAACGGATTGGCCTTTGTCAACGGTCGTATATACATGGTCGACGAGTCCATGCCATGGATATCAGCCTTCATTATCAGCGCTGATGGCCATTTCACCGCCCGGGGCAATGACCATGAGACAAGGACCCAAGCTCTTAAAGGAAAGCGGACGTAAATGGAAGCATTGCCGTGGGCAAACAGGTAACTTTTAGTATCATGAACCAGGACCTGAGCGAAGGAGAGCTTGAAGGAGCGGAAGTGTGGCAAACTTGGTTTGAAGGGAAGATGATTTATACTGCTGATTGGCTTGGTAAGCCATTTCTTTGAAGGCTGGGGTTCTCATGTTACGGCTGCTGAAAGGGACCGAAAACTTCCTTTGCACCATCCTGCACGGACAAATTACCTCTACCTTTCGAAAGAGGGCTGCGCCCTAATGTTACAGTCCATAGCCTACACTATGTTTCTATACCCCTTGTGACCACCTAAAACATGGAATACAAACGCCGCCTGCTGCGAGCCTTCAATAATATTCACTATACAAAAACTCAAAAGAGCGACCACCTGGGCACTGCGTCCTGCATCGTCCTCTAGTAGCAACACAGCGAGGTCAAGAACCATTCTACACTCCGTTAGACTTCTGTCACATGATGTTCAGGAAAGTCATCCCCAGACTGCTGTGTCCTGATAGATTCCGATGCTGATCTTTGTTCTTCTCAGTGTTAGGTCAATTGGCTGCCGAACTCGATCCAGGGTTGGCAAAATATTACGGGAATTTAGCGCAAAGTACGATCTAAGAAGTTGTTTTCATCGAGAGTATCTCAGGTTGGTACAGGGTTTAGCTCATCAATTCCTCTGCCGGTGAAAGATTCGACTCAAACTCCCATTCACGGATTCAAGAATCGGGAGAAATGGGAGCAAAACTTCGAAGAGGCGAAAAAGGATCCCCTAGCCACTTCACAGCCAATAGGTCACTAGCTGGCTCACCATAACCGAGCAGTATGTCTATAATAATTGGAAAGCATGAAAGAACTACATTACTAGACATGCATCTCGGTTCACAGTATATTCCGTCACAGGTTTGATAACCACGTACGCATCAAGGTAAAAATAACTTATACCTATCCACGATTCATGATACCCGTGAACAGGTGTTAGCCGCTGGGATCCAGTGAGGGTTGAAGGATCAATGGACATTACCAGAAATTAACGACCCACTGCAAGGATAGGAAGCCAGAGGATTCCTTGCCGATGTTGGAGAGATCCTCCTTCTACTGTAAGTTATATGGGAACTTGTGCTCTCATTCATATGATAGAAACCGGGGACCTTGAACTATTCATCCCAGTGGTTACCAGTGATATTCTACCAATCCTACCAAGCGGCTGTCAAGATGAGAGGTGGGTGCTCAGAAGGCGTTCTTAGAGCGGCCACTCTCGAATATTACGGGCGTTGATTGGGTTGGAGAGAGGTTGCTGATCCATGCTGAGCATGTGTAGAGGTGGTGGTGAGTTCAAGTGAGTGCAAGTGAGTGCAAGTGAGCGAAGGGTTAGGAAGATAGTAAATTTTCCATCTTCTATCCGGCCAAGACAAGGCTGCGATATGCCTCGGAAGATGTAACCCATCTCGGACTAGCGCACTCCCAGACATCAGTAAGGCCGGACACGAATACGCCTGGTCCACTTTTGCCTCAGCCTCGACATCCCCAAGAGTGCCCACAAGCTATGGCCGATCTTTATAATCATGCCATATCAAACATGCCAAACGGGTGGATATGCACCTACGTGGTAACAAGATGCGGCATTTGCAATCGTCAACGTGGCACTGACCACGTTTCCCGAAGTCATCGTCGGACGTGCTCGGGATACGCGCAGGCACTTGTTCTTGGGAACCGTACTAGGTGTATTTATATCTTATATCAAACCCTCTTCCAGAACCTGTCGCCCTTTGACACAGTCCTTCCCGCATTCTTTGCAATAGTTGCGTCTTTGACAATTTCTACGTTGCACCAATTTCATCATGGGGGTTATCCAGCTACGGCCTCGTTTGAGTATTTATCTTCTCAGCGCCCTGCCTGTCATGGCCAAAGCTCTCCAGTCTCAGGTCAAGGAACATGCTGGATCTGAGGAGCTCTCTTCGACTGCCGAAAGCTATTTCCGAGAGCCGACCGCCAAGAGTATCCTCTATGGCCATATTGCTTTGATGTTGCTGGCGTGGATAGGATGTTTCCCTATTTGTGGGTAGTTCGCTTGCACTCCGGTCGATTCTGTGAGCTAATAATCCCAGTTGTGACATTGAACATTGCGAAATCGAATCTTGCATATCCTTCTCAAATAATGTTCTTGGGGCTGAATGGTATCGGTACAGTCTTTGGATTGGCATATAACAGCAAGACCTCGAACTTGTATCTCGGCGCCGTGCACCATTCTATTAGCTGGATATTGACAGGAGTCGCTGTTTTTCAGCTTTTTGCAAGGCTCCTGAGGAGTTTCTTGCAGTACCGATCAACGAGAGCCAATCCCAGCGAAAGCTTTCGCGAGGAGGAACCCCTGGTGTCCTCTTCGGCATCCTGGAATGATTTTGATGAGCCTGATGGAGAGGCTCCGAGTTATCAAACGACTTCAGGACTTGCGCGCGCATCTTACTTGTCCCCGAACGGCCCAGTTGCCAACTCAAGGAGTTCCGAGAATATATTTCGAATCCTCCTCCGACACTGGCACGCCTTGCTTGGTCGACGATACCACGAGAAAGTCCCTTGGAGCAAGAGTCCTTTCAAGTTTGGTGAATCGCTGTGCTTAGGTTCCATCATAGACCAGGCATCAACGATGTTTAGCATCGTGTTAATGGTCTTGATATTTGTGACTATTTGCACCGGTTTGGTTACGATGGCCGGTATCTTCGTAAGCCTGGCCTGTTTTCCAAGTACTTCTTTCCAGCAGACTGACCATTACCAGCATGGCAAAAGTATCTTCAATGGTCTAGCGCATTTCATTAAGGGAGCAGTCTTTTTCTGCTTCGGCCTCATAACTCTCTGGCGTTGGATGGGCAGCTTTGCCAGTATTGGCTGGGCTTGGAATCTCAAATATGCCGGGGGGCTCTCCCGTCATGGGTGGAGTCCTGCTTCCATTACCATGGAAGCGGTAGAGAGTGGTCTCATATTCTTGTATGGCATCATGAATGTCTTTCTCGAACACCTGTCGGCCTGGGGAGAGGGTTGGGTGGCCCAAGACTTCGAACATGTGGCTATCTCGGTCTTATTCATTGGTGGCGGATTGGTGATACTCCCGGTTGCACCTTTGACAAGTCTTGAGAATGTTACTGACTTCCACTTAGTGCGGTATCATGATTGAATATCAGGGATATGGAAGGTTAACGAGGAGCTCGCCGAAGGCGCTCGACGTACCCACCACCTCCCAAGAGAAGCGGACTTTGACGCCTGGATACTCGATCAACCCCATCATCCCGTTGATTATTTTCCTGTTAGGTCGAATTCTTGGAGGTCATCAACAGGCCAGTGCTCACTCCAGCATCCAGGCTACTATGATGCATCAATGGGTAGGCGTTCCTGCCTTAATTTCATGCCCCTAGCTCATATTTCAACAGGTAGGACATCTTCTCACAGGAGCGTCAGCCGCAAGATGTCTTACTTATCTCTTGCTGTATCTATCGCCTCCCACATCCATATCGCCCTCTCGGCCTCCCACAGAATCGGTCACTTCGTTCTGTTTAATGGTAGGAGGTATAATGCTGATGGCTAGTGTGAGTTTACTGCTGAACACCCCCGTAGCCCTCCCAAAGCCAGCCGCTAATGTTCCCTGAATTCCGCAGAACCGAGACACAACTGATGCTATGGTTGAGTATGATATTAACGCGATGGTCATTGCGACTATGGCCATGAGCTTGACGGCTGCATCTATGGCTTGGTGTATGAGCCTGGTCGCTCTGAGGCAGTGGGCTGAGAGGCGACAGAGGCTGCGAACAGAGAGAGCAGCGAGCCTCGAGTGAGTGTCAACATACTACGGATATGGAGTTATTACAGGGTAAGAGGCAATCCAAAGATATAGTAGAGCGTGGACCATGTCTGAACATTAGTTACAAATGTACCGAAGGTTACCGAATTAAGAATCTATTAGATGCGCCGGTCTGGGCGATCTTATGTCGATGAATAGAGTCAATATTGGATCTTCTTGGTCTTCAGGGTCCATACTATCGTGAGAACTATCTGATCACCTTCCAATGTGTATCTCTGTGGAGGCATTGAAGCTTACGTATTCAAGGCTGGGCGCCTTACAGGTGTCCCCGATGTGCCTGAACCAAGATCTTCTTTAGCTGCCAATTGGGTGGCAATAGGCACTGCTTGGCGGTAGCCTAGCCTGGGGTTCGGCACCCCATGGATCTCGTCTTTTGTTATCGGTACACCGTAGAGTGTATTGTTTGACATCCATCAAAAGGAAGCCTTGAGACTGGAAGTACGATTCCACAAGAGGCCTAATTTACCTCAAGTCCATTTGCACACCTAGGGAGACATGGTCGGTGTTGCGGGAAAGTCCAACGCCTGCAAAACCTGCAAGAAGCGGAAGGTTCGGGTAAGCCGGTTCCACTTGTTTCTTTTCTTCGGGAGACCTTGATATCAGGGCTAAACAAATGGTATACAGTGTGAAGGAGAAAAGCCCATCTGCATTCGATGTAGAAAAGGAGGGCGTGTTTGTGAAGGCTATGAACGAGTTCGCCAGTTCAAGCACCTCAGTGCCTTGGATCACGAGTCTCTCCTCGCTCGCAACCAGCCGTTGACTTCACAAACGGAACTGTCATGCATGATCCACGATCACTTCGACGCGGCTGAGGCGACCAAGAACACTCCCGACCTTGCGAAATTGGCAGAGCATGACCCTCCAAATCCAGCAACAGATGTATCACAGGTACCGGACTCATCCCCCGACCTGCTGTTCAACTCCATCCCCGAAGAAGTTCGGAAAAACATCAGCTATGGAGGTCCCGGATCGTGGTTACAAGCCATCGGTCAACTGCGAAGGAAGAACACTCTGCTTTATCTTGCCATGTCTGCACTAAGTATGGTGCGTCTAGGTCGAGTCCTCGGCAGCGAGCGTATCTACAGTGATGGAGTGGCAAAGTACGGCAGAGTCTTGAAAGATCTCCAACACATTCTTGCCAGTGACAGTCTCGTTATGGAGGAGCAAAATCTGGCAAGCTGTATGACTCTGACCATTTTTGAGGTCTGTGGCCAAAATGTGGTGCGGATGTGTTGACGCTAATCTGGAGTTCATAGGCGATGGAGCCTTCGGTCGGTAGTATCTGCGGGTGGGCAAGCCATGTTGGGGGTATCTCAAGGCTGTTCGAGCTTCGTGGTCCAAGACTGCATGTTGATGGCCTGGGTCATCAGCTGTTTTTGGGCTTTCGAGCCACTGCCGTAAGTGCGATCGAATCTTCATGCTCCAGTGCCCTGAACTCGATACGCGGAAAACAGCCCATCTCACTCATATTCTCAGGTCATCCACGCACTGGCTCTACGGAAGCCGACGTATCTAGGCCAGTCCGAATGGCTTACCATACCCTGGAATACACAACCCAAACCAGAGTTCCACCATCTGCTAGACATAATGACGCAAATTCCGACGTTCATTGACCAGGCAGAGCAGGTCCACCATGATCCACAATCCAATCTGACTAGAGCACAGAGATTAGTGCTTCTAGATCAAGGATGGGGATTATACCTACAACTCAAAGATTGGTATCGACAACTTGAATCAAGGCATTCCGATTCCCTCTACACCGAACAGCCTTCCTCGCTCTCATGCCCAAATCCACTCCCTACATACCTTGAAGATATTTTCCCAACATTCTTCAATTTCCAGACCTTTGAGGTCGCTCGGATGCATCTCTTTTACTGGACGTCACTTCTTCTGCTCTATGACAACATCCTGAAAATCATACCACTCTCTCTGTCCCCCGAAGAAATTAACCTTGCCACTTCCACGATCTCTCCCACTACTTTACCCACGACCGACAGAGCCGCAATTTTGGGATCAGCTGTGGATGTCGCTCAAAGAATCGCTCGATCCATGGAATTCCTGCTGTCCGAAGAAAAGTTCTCGCTCTCAGAAGAGATGCACATTCGTGGACTACTGAACACCTTGTTTCCCTTACGAACCGCGATACATGTATTCTCCACTGTCAAGCAATACAGGCCGGAGGCGTGGTGTCGTGCGGTCTTTGATGGACTTGCTCAACGAGGATATCCCTTCGGGCAGACCCTGTGCGGCTGGAAATGGGATGATATACCTTTGTTTTTGTCTGGGAGACCTCCAGTTTAGGGTTCTGGAATCGTGATCTAGTAAGAATCTTCCGATCATATACGACCGTCTCTTCGGAGGCTTTGAGGTCTTGTGTCATGAAACAATATGAAGCGTTATAGCGCTGCGCGAGAATGTTTGTGGATTGAGTCATATGATTTTATCGACCCTTTTGCGGTCTTGCTTCTGTATTCTCTGAAGCAGGAGGCTCTTCGATGGCCAACACTGTCAGATTGGTGCTTTCCAAGTCTTGGTATGACCTCATTACCAGTTCCATCAACCCATTTCCCGGCAGTTTCCCTCATCAAAATCGAGCAAGGACGAGGGCAAGAGATTCAAGCACGCTGATTCGCCTTGTCCACAGCCACCGTAACAGCCTCCTTGAATCTCTGCAGGCGATGATTCTCATCAATCAACTGCACGTTGCGCTCCTTATACAGTCCGAGCTCGGCCTCGAGCTCTCCGTTCTTTGCCTCGACACCCTCCAACCGCGCGATCTTGGCATCCTTCTCCTCGTCGGCCTCAACCAGGGGAGGGAGCACGTTCAACAAGGTGCTGCGGTACTGCTGGACGTATTCCTTGAATGAACTGAGTTCCTGGTCTTTGGCCATAACGGCCGCCTCGAGCGTAGTGATCTGGCTGGTGAATTGCTGGATGAGGTTGCTGCGGTCCGTGTTGCCTTGTTGGACGGCGTCTTGGAGAGAAGCGCACTTCTTCTCCAGGTCTTGAACTTGTTTGACACGCGCCTCTTTCGGCAGCCCGTGCTTGTCGATGTCCATGGCTCGGTAGTTCTCGAGCTCTTTGATGTAGGCTTTGATGTGGGCGGGGATGATCGGAGCCATGTCTTCGGCTGGTTGTTCCCTCGTGTTGGCGGGTGGTTTGGTGGGAGGAGAAAGATCGGTGTCAAGATCCGCTGCACGTTGGGAACTTGACGTCGGGTTTAAGGGTGGGGACTTGGGCGACTCATGGTCTCGGCGGAGTCTTTTGCTGCGCCGCGGCGGCGAGGGGACGTCGGGCGTTTCGCCCTCGCTGTCGGAGAAGAACAATGGTCCCATTTTGGAGGACACAGTGTGGTGAGTTGTTTGGGGGGAAGGGTAAGAAAGTAGTTTCGTGAGAGAGGTCCGCGAGTCGCAACCGATTAAATAATGAATCAAAAGATAATCCTTTTCTTTGTTGCAGACCCTTACTACGTCATTTTAATATATATAGACAGCGGGCGACACATTCACAAGTCAGTTCGTTGCACATGGTGATTCAAGAGGGTATATCCTAAGATGAGCTGCTCCTAAGGAGATCTCCAATGGCCGCATGGCGCCCTCTACGTGCAAGCATTACCCACGAGAACAATGAACCACGACGTGCTACCAGACATCAATCATGCCGACGGTTGCTCCCAACACAACAAGAGTGGAATAAGCCATCAACACCTGATATGATTGAAGAGCAGCCGTACTCGACAAATGCCATCGAGCCTGAAAGCCAGCTTCAAACAGAGGCAGTTATCGTAGTATCCTCTGTCGTACCCATGTAGCGCAGTGCGGTTTGCATTGCAAACCGAACCTTCTTCCGCAACAATGAAACTTGAGCATAAAATGTGATAAAGACCATCATTTCTATCATCTCTGGCTGACAATAACCAAGGTACCACGGCCATCAAATCTGAAGGGCCTACATGGGATGAGAGATAGTGGATACACGTGACATATAGACACGTGATTTAAAGGGGCTGGCGAGCCTCGTTTGACGGCTGTCATTACGCCGGAGGGTAAACACGAGAGACGATGGAACTAAACGACCTCCACAGTGAATAGGTCTCTATGTTATTGGAGGCATGTATTGAAATGAAAGTTGACTTGGTCTGACCATCTTGTGCAACCACGAGGATGTATTCATGAAAGTCGACAGAAGCAAGCATATTGTGTGAAGCAAAGTGAAATTCACTTTGGGTATGTATTCTAGCTCTGACGGCTCTCTGATGCCTTTGGAAGCACATGGGATGGCTCATGTGGATATAGCTCTATCTCTGTCAATTCTCACCAGCCTCAAGTATGTGTCTAGTACAGTGTGTCCGCGTGAGCAGGAAATTGAGCAAGCCACCCAAGCAACTCATTTTGATTCGTGTCGGCTGTGTTTTTCAGTCATCAGAGTAATCAGAGTAGAAATGGTCATTGCAGCTCCAGGACGCATCGCTACCCAACGCAATTTCCTCATCCCAACTCCTGTCAACCTCACGAATGTGAGGTAGCTCGTACCATTCCCGCTGAGGCTCTTCTTCTACCTCCTCCTCAGATTCGCTGCTGTCTGGTAGAGACACGGCTTCGCTTTCATCCTCAATATCGTCGCCATCCTCAATGGCCTCGTCATCAGAAAAGAAGGACCAATCTTCACTAGTGTCAAACAGGTTGACCATATTTTACCCCCTTCGCCCGTTGTTCCACCCTGGCATCTTCAAAGTCAAACGTCGAGTCCAGCTCCATCTTGGAAAGCCGCACAATGACCTTGCCGAATGATCTGCTGTTGTCTTCCTCATGCCTATAACTCGCGTAGTCGCTTCGCGACCGCTTTGTAATCCTCCTCGCTGAAAGTTTGCATTGATGCCAGATTTCTTCGACTATCTTTGTATAGTCTGCGGGATCGGCCTGTTCAAACAAGAGCAACCTATTCACGCGAGGCCGGATAGTTGCATACTCGCGGGTTAGAAATGGGTAGCAGTGGATATTGACCATCAGCTTCTCAGGCAATCCTTGTTTAAGATATCGCCTGCCATAGCCAAAGATATCATGACGCAGGCATGTTGGCTTGGATTCTGTGGCGGATGGTAGTCTGGCACGCTTTCGCGAGTAGTGAAGAATGAAGTTGTACTCCGGTCCTCCAGCATATACAAGTGCAGCAAGGCCGAATGCCGTCGGAAATCTCATCTTCCTTTCCTGCCTTGCGGCCACGACTCTTCGAACGTGTCAGGCCAAGATTGCTGCCGACAAAGTCACCATCGGAATCCGAGTAGGAGTCACTCTGAGTGTCTGAGTCCTCCTCTTCACCCTCATCATCGTTTACTTGTGGGTCTGAGACGATCTCGACGTTGTTCGAATCCGCTGCCGCAACGGTACAGCGGTGGTAGAAGTTCAGTAGGGCCTCTTTCTCCTTGAGCGGCATTGACTTCAATCGGCTCATCAACTGTGTGCCCCACTGCCATCATGGTTTATGGATCAGCATCCACTCTACCGTCAAACAGGAAGCATGAAACTTACAGCAAGGACTGAGAGCGCATCTTTGGTTATGACTGGACTGTCCGCCGGGAGGAGATCACTCTCGTCACCCTTGAGCAGGGGTTTGCGTGGAGTAATTGGGCCAGCCATTGTGAACCCTAGTTACACGGTCAAAAACGTGGGGCTGCAAGTGGATTCTGAGGAGAGGTTCTTGTCCAACACTTCTCAGGATGCCAGGTGACAGCAAAGTCGTCATCGTAGGAGCCCTGTTGCTCTTTTCTACAGCCTCCGAGTGTCCACTCTGTCTCAACATAGCAGTCAGATCGCACACGGCCATGATCCAAAGGAGCCTCTCCATCCTCAAAGTTGTCCTGAAAGTTGATCCTCAACACAGAGGCCCGTTGAAAACGCAGAAAGTATGGTGTCGACTCTCGCCATAGCTGCTTGCATACGAGGCGGAGGCTCAGAGGGTAGACCTCCTTTGGAATGCAGGGACAGGGCATTTCTTTCCATCTGGCAGATTCACCGCCGTAATTGGAATTGATGATCTTGGTGCAGCGGCGGCACATGTTCCATCCTGTTTTAGAGAAATCTTTTGGTGACTCGTCCCACCAGATGTCGTAGAGCTTTTTCCGAATCTCTGCAGGTAGATCGAGGAAATCTACTTTTAGTTTGCGTGCATTGCAGATGCCATTCTCATCTGCCTTGTTGACTGTGCCGACGTGATCGCTGGCATCTGATGACTTCGGGGTATGTGTACCGATCGTTCTTGGTTTCTTCTTTCGTGGCTCACCGTCGCTTTCATCGTCTCCTTCGTAGCCTTGATCGATGTTCATGTCACAGGTAGTGGTGTTCTCGAGTACAGTCTTGTCGTCAAGGTCTTGTTCTCTCTATTTTCCGGTCATTTTGTCGGCGGGGTAGAGGTGCTATTGAGAGAGGAATGATTGTGTGAAGGTCTTGAAGTAAACAATGGAGTATTCCCAATGCTGTAAGGGGATCGGCTGATGTTTGATCCGTCTTCAGGATCGGTAAAGTTCCGACTGAGACGAAAGAGAGAGACGGAAGAGTAAATAGAGATTTTGAAGATCAATATCAACCGATCCCAAGGGTCCAAGATCACGTTGACACCCGTGAAGAGCCATGATTCACGTTGTCGTGAATGTCAGTCGGCTAAACTTCCGTATATAGTTTAGCGCCGTCCCAAAGGCGTTAGCATGACCTCGAGCCTGCGATTTATCAGACCCTGCACAGTCACTGTATCTGCTGTTGGAAAGAAGGTGAGATGGAGATGACGGAATGCCATGTCGAAACATGAGAGAAAACTCGTACTGAAGTTTCCTGGTGTGGTAGAAGAACTCGCTTTCCTTGTCGGAGAGCCAACTTCCTCCTATCGATCGCACAAGGCTGTGCGGCCAGGCTGGACTGGATAGGGCACGCCAGGGCGCACCAGAGGGCTCGCTCTAGATATTCATGTATAGATCTTGACACATTCTGCCCAGAACATTCGCAGACATGTACAGAGAGAGAGAAGGATCGTAGATGACTGACACTATGTATGTACCTTGGGACTTCAGGACTGTCACTCTGCCGGTCAGTCAAACGATGCGATGTGAGGAACATGCATCCTCATCTGGAAAGAACACACCACAAACTCCTCATCACCTGGATTGCCATCGTCCCCGACAGTCAAGAGCGCACAAACAACGCTGTCACGCAGTTTGCTCTCCTCCCTCTCTCACCTCCTCTCCTGCCTTTGCTTGCATCACACGATCCAAAGCCAATGCGTTCGCTCGCCGAGATCCGATTGCTTGCCACTGCTGCTGACCGAGCTCATGTCAGAAACAGATGCGAAATAAGACGATGTCCCAGGAAATCAGAAGACGGCTACTAGAATGAATTGGAATAGAATGTGCAATTGTATTGTTCTCGCGTGTCTCATCATAATAGCCTTTGGTGTAACAAAATGAATATGGGGGGTTTTCAAACGCAAGCCGAGTCAGAACCCCGACGCTAATGCAACCTTTCTGGATGGTTTCCTTCCTCTGCGTGGATTCTTTCTATTGGGAATTATTCCACGTCGAATTTGTGGTGGCCTGTCTTTTGATGCAGGCTGCAATCTTCCACATACCAGATATACAGGCTAGCGTCGTCTTTTTTCATATTCGACGCTACCACACCTTGGTTGTTTTATTTTTTTTTCCTTTTTCCATCGAACGCTCTCGAGGACACGGCTGGGCGGACAAGGCTCATCTGTACGGAGCTTGCCCTCCAGCGTGTCGCTCAGAGACTTCATGGTTATAATCTCTCCACCATTCACGATCCCAATATCCACTCTCCATTTGCTTCTCATTCATCTCTGTTCTGCCCCGCCGCTCAAGATAAGCACCAGGAGCATTATGGGTGTTTTTCTGATGTTCTACTTGAGCCTGGCCCGAGTGTTGTCAATCATATCCTGCACCTCGTTGCCAAGGACTGGCATTGTTTTGTTGACGGAATGCTCCCGATTGAGGTGCATATCCTGAATGAGCAGATCGTGGTGGAGCGTACTGGTTGCTTAGACTGCTGTTGCTGCGGTCATATGATTGATTTGTTGTTGGTCGGCCACCATAGCCACCATAGCCATCATTATTGCCATAGCCGTTGTTGCCTTGATCATAAGACTGTTGTGGTCCCCGTCGTCCATTGTCCTGACTGGGATACATCTGGGTCATGGATTGCTGAGATACCGCAGCTTGTTGCTTCATGGTAGACTCGCCCGAAAGAGAATCATCGTCATCGACGGTCTTGTCATTGTTGTAGACTTGTCCACTGCCTCTGGCAGTAGCACCTAGAGCATCCAACTCTGTTGTGAGAGCAGCTTGAGATTTGATGAAACTTCCTCGGTCATCACGCATAGGTTGATATCTAACCTCAGGATTCTTCGAAGCGATGGCGTAAATTGAGGCAATGAGAACCAACACAAGTAGGACCGCGGCAAAGATGATGTTGTAAAGGGCGAAAATAACACCCATCACACCAGAGACCATAGGCGGTTGACCAAATGCATCAGAGAAGATCAAGAGGAAGATGGCGTTGAGGAAGTTGACTGAGGCAATGGAGATGTTGAAAATGTTTGTCTTCTTGTCCATCCATGGCTTCAGAACGCTGACACCAATCAGTGCAACCGCTTCAACAACCAGCAATCCAACAGCCTGAGCAACAGGGGATTTCTGGGCGAAGGCGATAAAGATGGCCTTGAAGAGAATGTATCCCAAGAAAGGCACAACAAAGTAGTAAGCGGTAGCGCGGTATTGAACATAGAGGAAACCCCACTTGTTGAGACACTCGGGATCGGAATACAGGATGTATGCTGGGTTCTTGTGCATTTCAACCGACTTTTTGGCGAGGGAGATGACTTTCCAAGAGGCAAATCCCAAAGCACCGGCCATCGAGAGAAAGACGATGAGAGCGAGGACCACCTCAGCAGCCGAGTCACGTTCGATGAGTTGCCATAAGCACAATATCGACATTTGGACGAATCCAAGAAGAACCTAAAAACAAGAGTTAACACCAAATAAATAGCCATTATGGATCGCCAGACTTACCAATCGGAACACGATGCCCTTGATGACGATTTTCCATCCATTTCTGAACTCGGAGAATCTCTCGGATTGCATCCAACCAGCCTTGGCAAAGCTATCAAGCAGGACCTTTGAGAGTGCGACAAGCACCACAGCCAAGAAAAGGATGAAGACGAAGAAAATCAGTCCAGTCATGAAGATATTGGTTTGTTCGATACCGGCACGGAAACCCACCCTGTCAATCCCACGAACGATTTTGACGTTGTCTGTTGCTGTCGATGTTTCTCGTTTGGCATAAGATCGAAGACCGGCGTTGGCAAAAGAAGCCATGGCATCGAGAGATCGTCTGATGGAACGCTTCTGGACTTGCACGGAGAAATAGCTCAGGGTTGATAGGTAGGTAGTGGGAGTGCCACCGGTTGCTCGTTGGTACCAAGTTGCGATGGATTGCAAGAAGCCGACTCGGATGATACCCATGCTCCATTGGAAGTTCTGTGTCCATGATTGCACAATTGGGGGCATAGAGACCGAAGTCATACCAATGATAGCTTGAGCTTGGAAGAAGCCAAAGAGCGAGACCGCATTGGCAGCCACGTGAGCGGCAGTGTTTGGATGTCCTAATCCTGAGGTGATGCCAGCTGTTACCAGACCCAAGCCGGCAATAACAGCGGTAGCCCAGCCAACGGCAGCTTGATACACGGATTTCGTGTTGGACAACTCGGCTTCCAAGCATGCGATGATGGAATTGTCATCCTTGGAATGAACATAGACCCGAACAACACCATCAAGATCGGGTACACTGTATGCAATGCCTGGAATATTCTTGGCAATATCGTTGCCCACAGTAAAAGTTGTTTCGAGGGTGATGGGGAGACCGGCCTTCATAGGGCAGAAACCAGCCAGGCCCATGTCACAAGGGTCGACAGTCTGGTTGAGAATGGTGAAGCCATAAGCGATCAGTTCGACCTGGGCCTTGATGTATCCAACAATCGATGACACGCCATTGATGTTGACAAGGACCACACCACTGTCGGGAGTATAAGAAACATTAAACAAGCTTGCAGTGAAGTTGTTTGTGCCCGCCTTGCACGAGTTTAAGGAATTCGATTCGATGATGTTTTTGGCGGATATCAAGGGCGAGAGGGACAAAACTGTGAGGAGAGTAATGAGGTGGGAGAAGCTTGATCGGAACTGCATGATGGCGGGTTGTTGTGATGGTTGTCGACTGCCGACCAACGCGGATGGTAGAAAGGGGGAGGGTGGTGGTAACAGGACAGGGCGCCAACCAGGGCGACACCAGCTCAGTAACCGACCAAGTCGTATAATGTGTATGTTTTTTGGAGGAAGAAACTACAATTAGACGGTGGTAGTCGAAGGAGGGTTGGTGTTCAAGAAGTAGTTGCTGTCAATTGTGTCATTGATTCGGAGGCGGGAGGTTGGGAGAGCAAAAGTTGGACAGCCCCAATTAGAACGAGTGGCGACACTGGCGAGTTGTAAAGGAAGGACAACAAGATGATGAAAACGATGGTGTTGTTCGATTGTGGGAGAATGCGAACAAAGGAGCCGTCAATGAACCTCTGCCAAAAGGTGATGCAAGAGGGATGTCGAGGACTGAATAGCGAACGTGTGTGAAGGGTGAAGGGTGAAAGGTGGTGACGAACGGGGCTGGAACAGAAGAGATACAAGATTTGACGGGTTTGAGAAGGAGAGAGAGCAAGGATGGGTGAGGATGGGGACCGTGCTCCGTGATGTAGTCTGTAGGGTAGGAGAGGATTGGTGCCGGGAGTCGGTTGTTTGGTGGATGTGACCAGGGAGAGGTTAGACCAGGAGAAAGGATTCGATGAGTGGGCGGTCGACTCGGCTGGTTGTGTCTTGGATCTGGGGCGACGGAGGAGTGGTGAGGAAGAGATGGTTGGTGGGAAGAGGGAGATGGGGACCAGATGGTGGCAGGGGGAGAAAAAGAAGGTGTCGCAGAATGCCAAGGGCTGGTCACGTGGATGGCCGACCTGGGTAAAGGTCTCTGTTCTGGGAGACGCGCGTTTTCCTTTGGGGCGCAGCCCAAACCCAAGGAAATTGCACTCGGTGGGCTCCTGGCCTTTGGGAGCATCCCATTCACACACCTGATACGCCTGGATTCGGGATCCTGCCTTGCCGGCCATTTACAGACAAACACCGTTACAAGAACCGTTGGTCCAAGTCCTCTGGCTATGAGGAATAAGCAATTAATTTCAAGGATCGAGGATGAATACGGAATGCGGTTCGACTATTTGAATGAGTAATGTTCTTTGTTCATGGAAGACGCTTTCCCATGTATCCAAGGGACCATCAGTAACCATCAAGTTTGCTATTTTTGTTTACCTGCTACTTTCCGGTGACTCGTAATAATGACTCCACCATCATCCCCGCCATTTGGCACCTACTGCCGGTGCATCCAGATGGTGAAGTCATAGCTTTTTGGTTTCTATGAGATACGAGAACGAGAATCTCGATCATGTAAAATCTTTATCGAACCTTGGAAATGTATACGTGCTTGACCAGAGCTTACATCAAGGCAATGAATGTGGGAGTTTAATCAGATAGTTTCCAAGTGATACGACATCGCTGTCAGCCTTGGAAAAATGCCCTGCATAAAAGATGTTGACAATAACAATAATGTCGATCAATGGCAATGGTACATTAATACTGGCAGACTCGGAGCCAAGGAGAGCGTGCAACAACAAAGACACATTTCGAGTCCGTCATCATCATTTGGCATTCACTACCATACGACGTAGGGACCTTACTTACCTAGGTAGGTACCTAAAGGTAGGTGACTCAGGGAACCCCAACTCAAATCCGACTAGACTCCCCAGGCACCGCATCCCTATTTCGGCCACGGTGGGCTCGCCTGTAAGGCCATGACCACTCCGGTCAACTATCCGTAGCTCGTATCGTCCATCTCCCTCTAACGCCGGCACGCTGCACGATCGACTCACATACCGTTTCAACAGCTGTTTCATCACTCCACCCCACTGCAGTCTGGCCGCGCGACCACGTTGTTACCGACAGATCCCCTGATCGTCTGCAGGTGGCAGATACATAACAATCGTTGTCGAGAGGTCTCATCTTCTTGCTGCTACCGAGGAAGATTTCATCTCCCTTGCACGTGCGCAAACAAGGATCCATCTTGAATTTCAACGAGATCGTGCACGTACCGTACTCGATATGGTTGTTTGTATTCTGTATTCTTGGTTTTCCTGGCGACATCCTCCAAGACCATTCCGACGCTGATCAGACCGGATTGCCATAAACTCGGGCTATCATCTACAGTAGCTGTACTACTATATTCCGTTCTCAATGACCTGTTGTCAACTAGGAAAGTACCTTCAACCCTTCAGGATTGCGCCTGGTCTGCACCAACAGCCTTGTTCGAGCATAAACGTACAGCAATCCCTGCGATCCGAGCTTCTCATTTGAGCTCGCGTCAGCACATCTGTATTGGTAATTCATTCCTCAGCAGGTCAAGCCGCTCCGCCATCCAAGCTAGGGAGGTGCCTCGAATGAGGTTGTTCCGAACCATTCATCAGCAGCTGTGCCTGTCGACGTATCACTGCTTCTTGTTCTCTCCGTTCTTTCGCTCGTCTTCGTTGTATAAGTTCCGACCGGAGCACTCGTAGGTACTTGGTGGCTTCATCCACATGTTCCTTGCTTTCCGTACTCTCCTTCAACGTCTGCAGGATCATCGTAATGTGCGCCTCATCATTCAGCTGTGGACAGGTTCTACCGTGTCCAAGATGAGCAAGCCCGCACAGTCCGCAGTGTTCAACCCCAGCAACCTTGAGTCGACACCAACCCATAGCATGCTGCTCGCCGCATGCAGAACACCAGTGCATCGGCGGCATTTGCGACACATATCCAAAATCATATCCACCTTCTCCATTAAACACGGGAGCTTGTCCAAGGGGAACTCGTATGCGTTTGAAAGGCCGGGCTATGCCAACATTAGTCCTGGGGATTTCCTAGGGCTGGGTCTCACTCTACCTCTCTGTGCCCGTGGGTTGCGCTTCATGTCGTTGGTGTCTTCACCGCGCAGATCATCATTATCATCATCATCATCATCATCATCATCATCATCATCATCATCATCATCCGTTGATTCGACTTCGCCGTCCTGATATTCATGGTCCACTACCTCCGATCGCCGGACACGCTTGTGTCCAGGGCTGCCCTTTCCACCATCCGTACCATAATCCACCGCCTATTATGTGTCAGTATCCAACAACTCCATCCCATCACAAGCTTCTTGCTTACCTCTCTTCTGCGCTTACCCCTACCATAGGCTTGCGCTTTGGCAGCTTGCTCTTCATCGAATATTCTTTGTCTCTCTTCCAAAATCTTATCCCAGATCCCAGGATTCGGCGTAGTTGTTCCGGTCTTGAGTTGAAAATCGTCCTCTAGCACACCCTTCTCGTTGGTCCATATACGCGCAAAACTGAATTGTGATTCGGCCGACTGTTCGTCGCTGATCTTGGTGTTCTCAATGTGAGATCTTTCAAGGAGGCGATCGATCGACGCAGAGTCGTACACAATGTCCTCGTCCGCGGTCCCGTCTTCGAACAAGGCTTGCGCGCCATGTCGCAAAATCGTTTCAAGATCATCACCTGCATCATCGTCGCGGTCCATGCGTTCGATCAACACATGATCCAATGCCATCTTTTTCCGGCCTATCTGCATAATCTTTTCCTCAACGCTATCTCTCGTCATAATTTGAAACACCAAAACCTTGGTCTTCTGTCCGATTCGATGAGCTCTAGAAAGTGCTTGAATGTCTTGGTGTGGATTGAAATCCGGATCCATAATGATCACGGTATCAGCTGTGGCCAGGTTGATACCAACCCCACCAGCGCGTGTTGAGAGTAGGAAGGCAAAGTAGGGTGAGTTGGGTGCGTTGTATTCATCGATGCGCTTTTGTTTCTCCATTGAATTGATGGTTCCGTCAATTCGGCGATGCTGGAAACCTAAACCATCCAAAAAGTCTTCCACGATGTCCAGATTGCCAAGGAACTGGCTGAAGATGAGTACACGATGCCCTCGTTCTTGCAGTTTAGGTAGCATAAGTGACAGCAGCTGCAGTTTGGATGATGCATCTACCAAATTCCGATGAGCGAGTTCGGTGTCGCTGGTCTTCTCTTCAATGTCTCGACTGTAGACGAATGGGTGGCACAAAGTCTTCCGCAGCTGCATCAAGATGTTGTTAAGACTATGCCGCTCCTTACCCCCTGATTCCTGGTCTCGTGAGAAGATTGACTTCATCAGCTGTGGATTCCTGGCCAGTATCGACTTGTAAACTTTCTTCTGTACTGTAGACATGGTTACAGGGATGATGATCTGGGCCATTGGTGGTAGGAATGTCAAGACTTGCGCTTTAGTTCTTCGTAGAAAGAATTTGCGCAATGTCTCGTGCAACTCTGCTACATTGTCCTGTGTCAATTCGGCGTACTTCGCCTCAATTTCTGCCGCATTGAAGCTCTTATCAAGAAATTGTAGTAAATTGTAGAGCTCGCGGGCGTTGTTCTGCAAGGGCGTTCCTGTCAGAAGCACCTTAAATGGGAATCTGAATTTGGACAGGATTTCGTAGATTTGGGTCTTATCACTCTTCAACCGTTGGCCTTCGTCGACAACAAGTCCTTGCCAAGGTACTTTCATGAGACTATGCCTTGTCTTCTCCTCAATGATAGAATCATACGAGGTGATCACGACGTGAGCTTTGATGTCTTTTGCCTCAGAAGATCTCTTCTTGTGGTCTCGGTGGCCGTCATCGTCCTTATCCTTTGGAAAGAGTTCAAAGTCATGGGTAAGCTTCCTGGCCATTGATGAGCCATGATAAGTAACGACTCGCAGAGTAGGGGCCCATTTTTGTATCTCACGGCGCCAATTGGGAACTGTGGCGTTTGGCACGACGACCAGAAAAGGCCAGCACTTGTGGTCATGGACCAAGGAGGCAAAAAATGCCACAAGTTGAATGGTTTTTCCCAGCCCCATTTCGTCAGCGAGTATCGCATTTTGATTCTTGAACCATTGGTACAGTAGCCAATTCAAGCCTTCAAGCTGATACGTCATCAATTCACCGCCGGTCATATTAGGAGGCTGCTGCTTCCGTATCAAGGCAGACTGAAAATCCTGTGTTCGGATCTGTGAAAGGTGTCTTCGTAAAGATCCTTGTACCGGGATTGAGAGATGCAGTTTCGTTACATAGTCTGTGTAGGCAAATTGAAAGTCATTCCAGCGTTCGGTGTCTGAATAGGCGGGAGGTTTCTCCCAAATGGCGTCTTCATACCCGAGACCTTTGTATTTGACAAACGCAGTATCGACCTCCTTCGCGCGAGCTAGGTCAATTTCTTTCGAGCTGTTCCGTACCATACTCGAGTAACGAACATCAAAAACGATATCAATTCGAAAAAACTCCTCTGGAATGGCATCAGTCGTCGACATCTTGGGTAGTTGATTCTCTGGCTTCTTCATGAAGGACGCTTTCATAGCGTTTGCTGCAATGCCCCATACCCAGAGTCCCGGCATCCAGTTTGTGCGAAAGTAAGATTGTGCGCGCCACTTGACTAGATACTCTTTTTCAATCTCCGGCATCTGATCAACTGTAGTGCCAGGAATGTAAGATTCAATATTGACTGGCTTCCATGCTACAAGGACATCAATCTGATATTGGTTCTCGAGACAATCCTTGCACTTCCATGATCGGTGGTAGTAATCGAATCTTTTTTGACCCAGCTGGGCTTCGGTTATTGCTTCATTCCCATCATCCTCCTCCATTGCAGATTGGTTCGTCTTGCGCTCCGGGAGGTGGTGCATATGCCAAGCACGAACACACTGAGAGCATCTGAACAAGACGTTGGAGACATTGTTTACTGTATTTGGATTGACGATTGTGATGGGATCTTTGCCACCATTCTCCTCTCGCTGTAATTGCTCTTGATGAGTAGAGAGGCGATGTCGAAGAGGCTTCGTTGCGGGTCCATATTTGTTGCACGCCACACAAACTCCTTGATGAGGAACCGAGGGATCCTTTTCATGAGCCAATCCAATACATCGGCGACACTGGAGGACAAAGAGATATTCACCCACTTTGGTGACCAAGTGGTCTCGACTGCCTCGAGAGCCAAGGCATTGCTTATGGAAGGCACAGGTACAACCTTGACAGAAGACCAAGGGGCCTTTGACTGTTCCATCGCCTTTGAAATAGCAGGTATCACATTCTTGACGATGGCGTCTTCGAAATGGGTCGTTTTCAGGAATCCTATCAAAGTATTCTTTCGCGGCGACGATCTTTGGCCCGGCCTTTTGTTCCTCATGGCTGGATATGTCGTCCTCTTGTCTTTCACGCATGGAACGTCTAGGCTTTTCAGTTGTTCTCGCTGATCTTCTGGTAGCAAGCTCTGGCTCAGGAGAAGACTTTAAGGAAGGTTTTCCTCGTCGGAGCCTGCCTGGATATCTCTCTTCAGTCGCTTCAGCCACTGTCCTACGCGTCCGGGCGCTTCTTCTTGGTTGTACGTCAGAATCGTCTGACTCTTGTCTTTGATAACCAATTTTTTTGGATCCTTTCAAACGTGCAGATCTCCGTCCACGGGCTGGAGAATGACTTGAGGAATCTTGATCTGCATCTGACGCTTCATCTGAGGCAGAGTTTGTGCCTGCGGAACCGGATTCGTCGGACTCATCTTGATCCTGCACCTTGTCCCGTCGTCCGCGGACTTCCGGATCGGAGTCGGAGAAATTGATTGTGGTCCAGTCGAGGAGTCCATCGCTGTTAGGCTTGTTGATATTGGCCTTGTCTCGAGTGGAACGCCCTGTCTTGTGAAATTGTCTTAAGACGTCGGAGCCTTGGTCAAGGTCACGAACTTGACGTGATGATAGGATGCTCCGCTCACCACTCTCACGAGATACTAGGTATTGACTGGCCCCACGTTGACTTATGATCTTCCGCAAGCTGAAGTGGCCGGGGAGAAATTTGTACTCTTCTTTCTCTTCATTTGATAGACTTGGGATGTCAATGAATATGTTCTCCTGTGTATGCAGAGGGACATGTTCGAGGCTGTTATCGGGACCACCCGAACCCGATTCCGAATCTGTGTCGAGCTGGACTTGAGCGGTGGCGTGGATGTTGTCTTCGTCGTGAATGGAGCGAACCTCACTAGGGGAATCTGATGGAGAGGCGGCGGGTGGAGGCGGGGCATTGTCGGAATCATCGCTCAGTGGTGATACCAGAATCTGCTCTTCTTGGGGGGATGGATCGATGATCTTGGGGCGCTCCGGTGGTTTGCCAACCCATGCAGAGAGATCGAGTGAGTCCATGATGAAGTTCGCATGCTAGTCGCAAAGGCGCAAAGGGCGCATGGGGATCGGAGGGTGGGGTGAGAACCGCCACGGATATGATTCGAGTTTCCAAGGAGCAAGAGGCAAGGACGGAGGGAGGCATGGAGGGAGAGAAGTGACCGCGACTCAGACACCAAAAGTGAGTGAGGTGCAAAGTGAGTTGGTGGTTGATGAAATGGATTTGACATGGGCCTCAGATTTCATGCCGCAGTTCGACGCGTGCCTTCTCCAATTTCCATTTAAGGTTGCTAGATTGGGCCAACGTGCAGCGCGCTTTTCCCCAGTCAGAAGTTTTTGTATGCACTCATGCTCCATCGTTGTTCAAACATTGATCAATTAGATTCAAAGACCACAGTGGTGTTTTATCAAAACCTTCATCGCTGGAAATAGTACTGCGGGTAGTACTGGCCTTGCTGGATGCAATCCTTTTCTCATAACGTTCTCAACCCAGGACTTCCTGCTAGATTCTCCGCCAGACTGGTTTTCACTCGATCCATATCCCTCACCCGTGCCATCGAGAATGGTAAACGCAAACAGCAAGACTCGGCCTTGAGGCATGATAGACGCCACCAATTCCCGAGCCATCGCCAGAAGGGTCAAGTTCTAGAGCACAACCAAGACCAGCAATCAACCTCGTCCCCATCCTCGTCAAGCTCTGAGCCCCCTGCCTCTTTCATTTCCTCCATCTCGTACACTACTGCGAGTTCGGAATTTCTTTATGGAACATTCTCAGTTCTCTCCGCCCTAAGGGCCAGACGCCGCAAGATCTACAACCTATACCGCTTGCCTTCTTCGTCCAATCTAGAACTCGATCCAGAGTCTGAGACTGCTACCAGCTATACCGTAGCGAGAGAAGAGATTCATCATCTGGCTCGACACCAACAGGTCAACATCCAAGAACTACGTGGGACAGATGCACTCAATACATTCAATAAACTGTCTGGGAGACGTCCACACGGCGGTCTTATCCTCGAGGTATCTCCCCTTCCGAGGTTATCAATCAATGCTCTCGGTCCCGTCGTCTCGAAGCAAGATGACCTGCAGTTAGTTCCGTCCAACAGCACCCCACTTGACACTGGCGTCGATGATCTTTTTCGCCTCAATGGCAATCATCGTACCATTCCCTCCAGTCGACCTCCCAATCAATATCCGTTCGTCCTTTTGCTGGACGGTGTCACAAACCCTGGCAATTTTGGTGCTATAGTCAGATCTGCCTGGTTTTTGGGCGTTGATGCCATCATCATTCCGGACCATGGGACTTCACCAATTTCCCCTGTAAGCATCAAAGCATCAGCTGGTGCCCTTGAACTGATGCCCGTCTTGACCATCAAAAATGAAAGACTATTCTTGATTGAGTCTCGTGCTTCTGGCTGGAAATTCTTCACCGCGGCTGCTCCACCTCCGACCAAAGACAACGTCTCTCCCAATGCACGAATAGAGGGTGCGCTGTCTAACCACCCTTGTGTGCTGGTGTTTGGGAACGAAAAGTCTGGTCCCCGGAAGTTCTGGAGACCATACATGCACAGCACTGTTTCAATACCCAACGCGAGAGGGACATTGGGCGATGTGGACAGTCTTAATGTTAGCGTTGCTGCAGCATTATTGACCCAGAAATTCTTCGACTTTGCTCAACCATCAGTCGTCCCGGCGAAGGACGCAAAATTGGAGAGTGCAACTTCCAGTCCATTCGTCGACTCATTTGGCTTGGAAGGTAGTAAAATATTCTGAACTTGCTGACCTATGATGTCCACTCCAAGGAGTAAATTGGATTGTTCTGTCGGAATGGGATAATCACTTGACCACTGCTGTTAGCATTGGATCCACCAACCTGTATGCTCGGAACCACTTGTTCGCCTTTGGCAGAGATCTTGATTCTCCTTCCACTAGGCTCAACGCGATAGAACTTGCGGCCAAAGTCGCCGAGAAAGCCTTCCAGGGTGGTTAGGTTCAACTGCTCCTGCTTGACAACTCCTTTGGCAACGGCAGCTTCGAAAGCCTCCAGTACCAGCTGTGTCGCGTATGGTTGTGTAAATACTCCTGCAGCGCATTTGCCAACTTGATGCATGTCCAAACCTCCCCTCTTGGCTCCCAATAGATGCGGGGCTGAGTCTGTACCGAGGAAGTATTTGGGATTACCGCTTGTGGCTGCTTTGAGCAATGCCAGCCTGTCAGCAGGAAGTTTCGCAACAGGTTTGCAGAAGTTGATCGGGTCGCCCACAACATCATCAATGATCAGAAACATGTGGTGGGGGGTAATGGTCGCAACGACATTCGGTCCACATTTGGCCACAGCCTCAACAGCCGCTCCAGTAGTGCAATGTTCCAAAACAATTCGTAATCGAGGAAATCGCTTGTGCAGATCGAACAGAGTCGGGAGGAAAGCTTCTTCGGCGTTAAGAACCGTTATGTCATCAGCTGGCGGTGCTTCACCGTGGAGGTTGAGCACTAGATCCTCTTCTTCCATGGCTTGAAAGACGGGATAGAACTGTTCGTAGTTGACCACACCGGAGGCCGAGTTTGTCGTCACGCCTGCCGGATACGATTTGACACCAAAAATGACACCAGACTTTTTCGCTTGCTTGATGGTGTCAGGTGTGATGGACGGGTGTAAATACAAAGACATGAGAGTCTGCGCATCGGTGTGTTTCGCAATGGCTTGCTGATAGGCGAATGCGTGTTCGACCGTTGTAATGGGCGGTACCAAGTTGGGCTGTAGATAAGCACCCATATAGTCAGTAAGCATTCAACAGGCGTTTTTCCAGTACGAAATGAGCAGAAAAGGCTGAGGAGTAGTGGTTTCTAGCTTCGAATTCTGATGTAAGAATGAAGCTTTCATAAGCATTCATTGACATCCCACTGCAAACTGGCCACTGTCGAACCGCAAGCTCGAATGGAACCACCGTTGCTTTCCACTGCACGTCAAGACCATCGGTGCCTGGGACAGCAGACCCAAGATCTCTAGACCAGCAACCACAGACCCAATGAGACCACCACCTATTCCTCACGTATTCCCGAGGAGCAAAACCCAGCAAGGGCAAACCAACAAGCCTTTGGCAAAGCAGAAGAAAGAGAGTTGACGACAGCGAGGACTCACTTACCATAACGAACACAACATCGACACCACCCCGCACAATCGTCGGCGCCACCGCCGCCATCATCTCGCCGTCGCGCAGATGCACGTGGAAATCCGCGGACGCCGGTAACGACAGGCCGTCGAAGAGCCTGCCCGTCCTGCCGGCGGCGTGGGACTTCGCGTCGTCACTGCTGCTGGTTCCTACAGTGGCCATCTTCGTGCTGGGCTGTGGCGGGAGGGATTGGGTCGCTTTTGGATTTCGAGCTGGGGGATAGGGGGCCTTGCGGTTGGTTTCTCTTTTTTTCAAGCTTTCTTTTCTTCAAGTTGGAACGAGACTTGGACGTAGATGGATACAGGTGAGATCTCACTGCCAGGGTTCAGGCTGTGGTTGAATAGCGAAGTGTGGGTGGAAGTGGAGAAAAATATTCATTTCAGGTTTCCGAGAATAAAAATATTCGTGGTGGACTTTCCCCGCATTTCGCTGGGAATGGCTATTTATTGCTGCAGAGATATCGACTTTGACGGCCGATCAACGCAATAGATATGGTGCTTGCTTAGTCCCTGAAATGGGACACTCCAAGGGATGTACTTAGGTACCATGCAGATTTTTAAATAGGACGGCATGGCGACAGAGCGATATATCGAGATAGTAGAGAGAGGAAAAGGCAGAGTTCGAGAAGGAGCGAATATACATTTCGTTGAATTGTGTCTTCGTCTCGAAGATACACATCGACACAACACATCTCAACCATCGCATTGCATCACATTGCAGCGTGTCTCATGAGTATGTCTGTATGTGTGAGTTTAGCTACAAAAAACCACCCGTCCCATCATTACCCCGTCCCCAATGCCGTTTGAATGTCGTGTTATCCATAAGCATAGCCGTAACCATATGTCATTCTGATTCTTTGGATCCGGGGCTCTTTTCCTCGACCCTCATCCAAGTCGTGTATTGTTGTTGGTAGTTTGTGCGGGATTTTGGGATTCGATGTAATGCTTATTGACAAGAAGCCGCCTGGTTGTCATCATCTGAAAGACCATTTGATGGGAGAAAAATCGACAATTTGTGTCCGCTGAGGTCGCCGCCTCAAAACCCGTGGACCAGATGCTGGTAAAAAGAAATTCGGAGTCACAATCTTTTCTCTATGTCAAACGCCTGGAGTGGTGGGTATCCGGTCCCATCAACGAGGTGTTGTGGTACAAAAATTTGTCCTTGTTGCGGTGTGCAAGGAAATGAAGAAATAATAGTCGCAATCGCCCAATGCCGCTCAAAATTTCATCTTTCATGTACAGTTGTTTCAGTCCTGGAAGCATTGTTAGCATTGAAATTCATCATGGTAAGAGTGGACGAAGAAAGGAGCTCATACATCATCAGTCAGTCGATCCAGCAGTTGGATACTCAATATCATCACAAGCAATCCGAGGGTGACAACGACTAGGAGGCCGAATCCGAACCATCCCAGTACCATTGCCGCCGTACCCACGCCGGATTTAACGCTTCCGTTCCCTAGGTCTTGAGCAACTGTACTCGCTGCCACAGCAGCCGTGTGCTGCCACATTACCGACACCAGGACAAAAACTGATGCGATAAATATGGTGGCCAATGCAACTTGAGAGACAGCCCTTGACGGGAATGGTCGAACTTCGTGCTCGGATCCATCCGGGCTCATGCTGGTGTGCCATCCCGGAAATGTTGCCAACAGTATGAAAGTCAGGAAGGCGAGAACGATGGCGATGATGATCAGATATGGGAAGACCACGGCGTTCTTGAACGTGCTGGCCACCCAAATCAGATTGAGCGGGTCTTGATCAATGCTGACCAGATCAGCGAGCGCAGTCGAGTTCTGATTGCACATCCATGCTCCACTGTCAACCCTTATGCAGATGCCAAAGTATCCCACTCGTACGTTGAGGTCCGCGTTTCCAACAATGTTGGCTATCGCTGTAGACACACTCGGGTCAACTTGGACTGTGGAGAAAATGGCAGGGTATTGTTGGTAGTATAGCGAGATGAGGTAGATTCCAGGTATTAGGGGAGAGGTTGAAGAACATCCTGCCAGGAGTAATGCTAGGGAATCGGTCAGCCTGATGGATTTCTCATGTTTGACAGTTTTGTGCACTTACAGAGCAGGATAATTGCCACTGCTATCAAGATCATGAGCACATGATGGTACCCTATGAATGGAACGAATTTCCTCCATCCTGTTGCAAATCTAGGTGCCATGATTTCTCAACTGTGCTCTATTGTGAGACTTGGATTGGTGAGGTTGGCCGTCCGTGCGGACGGAGGACAGTGTTGACAATCAGCACAGGGCAATAGATCTGAGAAACTGTCTGGATCGCTGGACGGTCGGTGCAGTCAAATTCGAGGGTCCGTTCCGGGTGGAGGATAGAAATTGAGAGGTTTGAGAGATGTTGAAACTACACTGCTTGTGTAGATGGAAGACCGATGCAATGCTTCGAGAATTCTAGTCTGTTTTCACCAGGGAATGCAATGGTCAGCTATGTGAGTCTTGCAGAGAGATAATGGAAGAGATGGAGAGGGAGGAGGAGAGGAGAAGCGTAGCTTGACTTAGTTCTGGTAATATGTGAGACTGGAGATCGACGGCACCAATTGCCATGATGATTCACTGAGTGGCCATTGAAAATTCGTGAGGTTGGTCTGTGATCTAAATAATGTGGTGGCAGGAAACTCACTTGCGAGGCTTACCGCCAAAAAATGTCGCTGGCACGACTGCCAAGCCCATTGTTTGGGTTTATCCACAAATGGTTTAGTGCCTGCGGATAGACCTGGGCTACCCGTCGTCCGGCTCGTTCGGGTTCCTGACTATGACGTCGCTTGCTGTCACCCTCTTGGGTTTTCTGGCAGGCTCCAATTCCGAGTCTGGCCTTTGTTCCGAAAGACAGAAGATCGCTTGAACCTTGGTTTTGGAAATTGCAACAACTTTGGCCGGGCAGTTAGAGCCATGCATAATTAATGCTACTGAAGCGTGATTTTGCAGTCTAGCAAATTGACCGCAACAATGTCGACCCTACTCTGTAGATACTTGGTCAAGGGTATAGTAACCAAGAATAGGTCAACATAATTCCAGAGTTTTCATGCCCAGCGCTGCACTTCATCCAGAGTGGCAGCCAATCCAAATATCCCACATCACCTTTACGCCTTGCATCAAACAATCAATGATAATTCAAAACCATAATTCGCAATACCCTGATCCGGAAACCTGAAACCCGTCAATCCTTTTCAACGACCGAAGGCAAATGCACCAATGTCAAGTCTTGGATATCTGATGGGTGATCCCACCTGTGAGCTCTCATCTTCGCTGTTGGGTATTATTTCATCTTCGCTTCCCTTGGGTCTGTCTGGACCAGGTACTGCCACGACGATCGATGCCTGTAAGGCTTCACCTTGATGTTCACTCACCGCCAATACATCATGTGGCACACTACGCTGGATAGTGGTCACTAGTCGGTTTTCCTTCTTGGTAGTTGTAGATGATTGCTCACAGCGTCCACCCAAATTCCTAAGTGCTGATTGCTGGGTCGTGGTCGACTGATATGAAAATGTCTTGTGTATATTCAACTTTTCACAGAAGCTCGACACACTCGTCGCTTTGGGCAGGCTACTGAGTGCCGCCAGTTGCACTTCGCCTGATTGAGCCGAAAATGTTCTACCCTGAGACCCACGAGTTGAGGTCGATTGGGGAGTCTGAACGTTCTTCCTGCGCATCTCAGAAGTACCAGTGCTATTCAGTGCGTCATTTTGCTTTCGAACATGAAACTCCAATAGATCTTCAAACTGTCCAGGCTCTTCTTCCCGGCTCACCTCGCGTGCTCTACCACCTTTTTGAGGCTCGCCGCCGACCGCTCGTTGTACTTTGTTGGTCGCTGGTCGCGAGGACGTGCGCGGTTGGGATTGAGGTACAGTCTCTAGTTCCTCACTCGTGCGAGTTTTGTCTGCATTTGGTGTGGACACATCACATATCTGATCTTGCGTATACGTCTTCTCGCTATCTGTAAGTTGGTGCTTCTCAGCTTCCAGGAGTAGCATATCATCAATAGAATCATCCGAGAAAACATCAAAGCCAGATTTGCGAGTCTTCCTGCGAGCAGTAACCTTTTGTGCCAAGGGACTTGCCTCTACAACCTTGGAGGAGAAGAAGCGACTTTGCTGCACCTCGGAGTTGGCTGATAGTTCGCTTGAATCTGAGCATAATCGTTGTCTTTTTGGAGGCTTGTATGTTGACATGGTCGACGCTCTCATGAGGAACACAGATCGATCCGTCCCCTGAGAATTGGACGTCTGCGTCGACGTTGTGAGAGTTCGACGCAGAGCAGGTGCTGACGAGACCAGTCTTGGCTCCCAGGTAGCATTTTGACTACGCTGTAATAGGCGTTGTTGCGACGGAGATGGGGTGAGGCTGTTAGGGTCGAGTTCTGCAAGGGGCTGCCGGTATGGCTTGAAGAAGTTTTCGATCGATTTTCCTGCCTTTAACCCGGGATCAGAAGTATATGATTGCCCCCTGGTTTCGGCAAGAGCTGCTCTCCCAGACTCCTTTCTTGCGACCGAGTGAAGGCGTTGTTTCGAGAAAGGATCGATGTCACCACATGCGACTCCAACAGCTGTATCAGCATCAACATCCGGACCCAGAAATGGTAGGTCGCACTCCACAACGCCTGGTCCAAGTTCATTCAGGAACACCAATTTTTGTTGCAAAGGGCAGAAGACGCGATGATGTAGAAAGGTCAGTTCTGCGTTTCTGAACTGCTCCAAGTATTTGTCCGGAACCACAAGCTTTCCCTCGAATTGAATCATTCTGATGATCTTCTCCACTTCTTTGTGTTTGCGAATATATGCATGTGCTGTCTTCAGACCCAATCTCTCAATGTTTGTTAGGTAATCGCAACCACTGAGAATGGCCATTTGTCGAAACATGGTGTCGGTCCATCCTGCGAAACTAATTTCCTTACAAATCGAGAAATCTTTTCTCTGAAACTCGATAAGCTCGCCGTACTGGTTCAATTTGGTAAGTAAACGCTTCGCTCCAAAAACGAGTAAGTCCGAGTCTTCGGAGAGAATGCCATCAATGATTCCCTTTTGCTCAAGATAGACAAGCTGGGCATCAGCCTCGTAGGGAGCAACAACATATTGAACATTGAGCTTTTTCAACTCGTCAATCAATTGACGCGCCATTGAAGGGGTCACATCAACAGCTTTTTGGAACTCCTGGTACGACTGTGTAGTCCTCCCAGCCTTATGTAGTTCCATGCCTCGTGCCTTGCTTTCCTCCCTTCTTTTGTGTCGTTCGGCGTTTGTGCCCTTTTTGCTGGGGATATTGTCTCCATCGAAAACCAGATAAGGAACGACTCCAAAGTCCATAAGCATGCGTACTCGGCTCAGGACAAAATCAATGTGGATGGTGGTTGGTTTGCCGAGTGCCAGCGCAAAGGCGCAACCAACCACACCTCGATGAAGCCATCCATAGGCGTCAACTCCAATGGTTTGCCCTTTGAATTGCTTAAGGGTTGAATGCTTTTGGATTGATTTGAGGAGCGGCAAAAGACCTGGATTGATTAGAGTTGGAGATCGGAACCATAAACATCACAGATCACTTACCTTTGATGCCCATGTTGAATATGTGAGGTGGGTTACTGCTCACACCGCTTATTCCACATCCTGTGGCACAGGTGGGGAGTTGTTGTACAGTTGAGTAGTCCAAATATACCGAACCAAGTGGTGAGTGGTGGAAGATTTAGTCAATCAGTGTTGAACACCAGGCTTGGTGTTTATGTTGTGCAAGAGCAAGCAATACTGTTAGAAATGGTTGATGGCTGTGAAGCAATAACCTGGATGCGGTCCCCAATTACGCGCCCGCGACAGGTGCGAATGAGGGGACGCGATTCTTGGAAGGCGCCAGCACTGGCATGCATTGGAGAAATCTCTTGGCAACAATATGTTCATCCGAGGTTTTGCCGCTTGACTTTTTTTCGATGAGAGAGTTGATATGACAAGGATGCGCTCATATCAAGGAATTGACACTATTCCGATAACGAGAAAGGATTGGTTTTACTGAAGTAAACATGGCGAAATCTCTAGACAAGGTTCACAAAAAGGTTCACAAGAAGAAGGGCGGCAGAATGGACAGTCTTCATGTGAACAGCCGGGATGCAAAACGTCTGAGGGCAGCCAGTGCCCGAGAGGAAAAGCTGTCACGCCTCATGGACGCTGCAGCAAGGGTTAACCAAGTCTATGGTATACCCTTTCTCAAACACAAATCAAAGCTGCACTCTAACCACTCATAGTCGAGCGAATTGCTTGGTTCAAAAGTGCACTAGAAGGATCTGTCGGTGCGCTGACAGAAGAAGAACTGCGGGTATTGACACGAAGGTATGACAGAAAGAAAGATGTCAGCACCGAACTGACTATCAAAGCTTTATCGATCGGGAAGATGCACAACTAGAAGAGGCGAAAGCACAGCGCCGGCCTGGACGACCTCGCACCAAAATCGAAGAAGACATAATCATGCGCAAAGATGACGAAGAGCGCGAATTCAAATCTGGCTTTTGGATTCCAGACCTACGAGATGATGAAGGCCGACTCAAATTGGACCGATGGGCCGGTGATTGGGGTGGTCTACACACCCTAAACTTCATCCGCGTTGTGCGAGATGGAGACATCAAACCTTCTAGTTTCCCTCCCAAAGGCCTCTCTTGAGTTTCTGGCGAAAGACTCGTCGGGAACAGGAATTAAAATCCTCTCACAAAGCAATGGGAGGAAAGAACTTGACAAATTGGGAGAGGATATGGCCAGTTGCTGGTAGTTGCTTGTCACAGCTGTGTGGTCAAACTCGCTACTATCCAGCGAAGGTGCCGGCATTGCTCCTCTTAGTCGAAGTCTCTGCTACATGAGGGGGAAAAAGGACCGAACTCAATATCGGATCGCGGTCCGTTCAGGATCAGCCAAACCTTTCAAGAAAGAGAAGATGGTCCAGGCTAATATGCCAGATCGGCGACGCATCTCCAGGAGTCAGGCCATGGAGCACGGTCATATACAGCATGCAATTGCTTGTATGGTACAACATCCTTGCAGAGCGAAAGAATTGCAAGAATTACATTTCTGGAGTTCAAAATTGACGGATAATGGTCTTCAGGGAGTCGAACATGACTCAATCATTTTGCATATCACGTGTTTGATGACTCGCGGCATGTCGCGTCCTACAGAAAAATTATGTAGAACCCTGAACGGGTGCGTTCATTCTGCGTTGTTGCATGATTGAATTTGCTTCATCCTTCTCATTCTCGCGCAACCTCCTTGTACCACCATTCTTCATTCTACAATTATCACAATACTTCTCTCTCTAATAATCATTCGTGATGCTATCATTAAGAGCCCTGTCACGGGCTTTGCCTAAGACTCTGTTCAACAAATCTCCTGTTCGGTGTCTTTCATCAGTTTCGAGGACTGCCTTCTATCGACCTGTCTGGCAACCGGCCACCAGAACAACCTATCCCGCTTTCTCAACATCATGTGCCCGCAGAGAGCCTGCTGGCGAGTGTAAGGACTATCTCTCCGCGCATCCACACCGGCTAACATATTCCTCAAGCTGATCAAGAACTATCGGCCAAGATCGAACAAGAATACCAACTCGAAGTCGAAAACAACGATAGCTCAAAGCTTACACCGCTCAACGACTATCTGAGTGATAGCGGCTTTGAAATCACAGATGTCCCGGGAACACACGAGGTCACACTGACGAAAACGTTTGGTAACGAACAGTACGCAGGCCCTTAAGTCTAGAAAATGGATGACATTGACAAAAGGTTTAGGATCAAGATTGAATTTAGCATCTCCGACATCAATAACCTCGACGAAGAATTCGACCAGTCGGAGGAGGATGATGCCTTTGATGATGAAGCAGAATTTGACAGTGGCAAGAACACCATCAACCAGGCTGGTGTAAGAGGAGGCAAGGTCGATGTTCTGCCCGAAGACAGCATTGCTCCAGCAGATAGGGATGCTGGAGAAGCTCCAGAGGACTACCCGACCACTCCAGCTTTCCCCATTGATCTTCGCATCATCATCACCAAGCCCGGTGACCAAGCGCTGGAGATTCACGCCGTGGCCGCAGACGGAACTATTGAGCCTCAAACCATCAACTACGCGCCCAAGGCATCGGCATTACTGGCAAAGAGCGGCAAGGATGCCCAGGAGGTGCAGGCCCAATACTATGGCCCCCCTGTGAGCAATTTAGATGCCGAGTTGCAGCTTCTCTTGGAGAGATATCTCGAGGACCGAGGAATCAACACCGAGCTGGCCAACTTCCTCCCTGATTATGTTGAGTACAAGGAGCAGAAGGAATATGTTTCGTGGCTTCAAAGTAAGTGGAATGCTTGTGTTCATATCTGTGATCGCAAAGCTAACAATTTCAATCAACAGGCCTGAAGAAGTTCATCGACATCTGAATGGTATTCAGTACTTGGTCTCGCAAGATGCTGCGATTGACCATTGACCATGCGCAACCCGATTTTGTACCCTCCACTTTGAGCAATATCCGACACTCCAATTATGTATATTACTAGGCTGCAGGCGCCGTATGCTGGGAAGCCGATAATGATGAAAAATACCCAAACTTGTGCCGATACAATACCCGCGAATAGCAGAATAGAATTCAAAGCATGAAGTACTTGGCCTGAACCGATACGGTGTAATTCGAGGCCGACTCACACGAAATCAAATTCAAGTTTTCCCAGATTCTAAGTCGAGTTCGTTGGATGTTGGAAAAGCTTTACGAGATACGGGTGTTCCAACGTCCATTGGCAACGTGTTCGCGAGGAGGGCGTGAAGTCACTTCCCTCTTGGCGACCAGCATAAGGCGTCCTTCACAATGACAATGCCTCTGTATTTGCCCTGCGTCCGTGCTCCGTCTCTAGAATTATGGTCGCTTCCCCAGAGGTCATGCTCGCATCTCCTCTCCTCACGGAACTTCCTACTACGTAAGAGGAAGAGGAAAACTGAGTAATCCGACAGCTGAACTCATTCAACTGCGGAGATGCTGTTGTCGATGATCTTCTACCGAGGTATGTTTCCCCTAGTCTCCAGGCTACCGTCAGGAACTGCCAATCATGATCTCGGTATTCACAAACGCCTCTCTGGAAACATGGTTTTCCTCCACTTCTCCTCAAGTCGCCAGAATGGAGGGTGAGCTGGGAAGACCATAAATGGCGACAGCAAAAGTCTATCAACTTGGCTAAATATCTCAGTACGAAGTAGTTACCTAGGTAGTTAGGTACCCCTGTACGGGTACATGTACTGTGCTGACGGGAACTTAGTGTGAATCACTTACCACGGGACAGCTGACACGAGAGAATAGCTCGCATTCTCTAGCCTGATGTGTTGATGACTGTCATCTTACTGTTGCAACTTCAGGCGGGCCATATCCGTACTTCCAAGGCTTCCCTGGACTCCTGGGGCAACATAGGTGGTGGACCATGAGCAATGACAACCTCTATCCAGAAGTGGGTTTTGTTCCTCCTACTCCACAATCTAATTTGGATACCTACTCGGTACTACCTCGTACACAAGTCGTTTTTGTTTCAGGTAAGGAATGAATGCCCTCAAGCACCCCGTCGAGAAATGGAGCTTTTGCCGAATTGGAGCAAGATGACCATTCCATTTCCATTCCATCCACACCACGATACGGATCAACGTTAAGAGTTCCACCTCGTAACCTTCCAAGGTCCTCGGGAGGCCACAAGCCCTGGCGCGCAAGTTGGCAGTCGCATCCCAAGCAGAGACGGAGGGATTCAATTCCGTCCCAAGCACATACAAATATATTGTCTCTGATCGCCCCACCATATTTGGTCGAGACTGTGCACCATACTACTAGTATGCCCTTCCATCTTTACACTTAGCTAAAGTTACTTTCTACTTCCTCAAGTCCTTCAACGACCTTCTGTCTGGGAGCTTTACTCCGACGATGAACCAATATCTGGCTTCAGGGGCTGGTCTCATTGTCGTCTACTTGGTTTACTATCTGGTGTCCTCCTTCATCAGCAATCGCTATCACGCTCGACAAGCGAATGCACTGGGCTGTCAACCAACATGGCAGCGACCTCACAAATATCCACTGGCCATCGATCTCGTTCAGGAAGTGATTCAAGCCGACAAGAACCAAACAGTACCTGACTATTTCCTGGGAGTCTACAAGGCGACCCGCAAGAATACCTGGTCTCAAAATGTGTTGGGTACCATGCAATTTGTTACCAATGACCCCAAGAATATTCAGGCCATATTGGCTACTCAATTCCAGGACTTCGAGATTGGGGAGCTGAGAAGGGGTAACTTCTTCCCGATGCTCGGCAATGGGATTTTCACTGTCGATGGCAAGGCATGGTATGGGAAATAAGTCGTCTAATGATCAATTCGATACTAACACAGTTCAAGGGAACACTCTCGGTCAATGCTTCGACCCCAGTTTGCACGTCAGCAAGTCGCCGACCTACAACTAGAAGAGATTCATGTTCAAGATATGTTCCGACACCTCACAGCCAGCGACGGATGGACTGATTACGTTGATTTGGTTCCTTTGTTCTTCCGCCTCACGCTCGACTCCGCCACCGAATTCCTCTTCGGTCAAAGTGTTGATTCGCAGAACGCTGCCCTTCCAGGTTATACCCAGAAGGCCAAAGAAGCAGGAGACTTAGATTGGACTTCCTTTGCTCATTCCTTTGACTCTGGGACCATGTGTCTTGGCCAGCGTGGACGACTCGCCGAGTTCTACTGGGTCAAAAACCCTCAATCATTCAAAGACAACTGCAAGGATGTCCATAAATTTGCAGATTACTATGTCAATCTTGCTCTCACAACTGATCTCTCTTCGCTCTCTGAAAACCACCACGCGGACGGCCCGAGAAAGGAGAAGTACATCTTCTTGAAAGAGCTTGTCCAGCAGACTAGGGATCCCATCGAGCTCAGAAGTCAGCTTCTCAATATTCTACTTGCAGGTCGTGATACCACTGCTGGACTCCTTGGCTGGACTTTCTTCTTGCTGGTGCGACACCCCGACGTTTTCAAGAAACTCCGCGAGACCATTTTGGAGGAATTCGGAACATATGACCAACCCAAGAACTTGACTTTCGAAAATCTTAAAGGCTGTACTTACCTTCAACATACTCTATCTGAAGTTCTTCGTCTCTATGCAACAGTGCCACTTAATCAAAGACGGGCAACCAGAGACACAACGCTTCCAAGGGGAGGCGGGCCTGACGGCAACTCCCCAGTCTATGTCCGCAAAGGTCAAGAAGTCAACTATTCTGTTCACGTTATGCATCATCGCGAGGACCTTTGGGGACCAGATGTCGAAGAATTCAAACCTGAACGATGGGTCAGCCGTAGACCTGGTTGGGAATTCTTGCCATTCAACGGTGGTCCACGAATCTGCTTGGGTCAACAATTTGCTCTGACGGAAGCAGGGTATGTGATTGTGAGAATGCTCCAAAAATTCGATGGCATCAAGACCAATGAAAGTGATCCTATTGTGAGGCATCAGTACAGTGTCACCACGGCGCCTGCTCGAGTTCCCGTGCGCCTACACGTGGCTTGATTGCGGTCTTGGTCTGATTTGTCTTCGTGTTTTACTGTCGTGCTGAGATTGCCAGGGTGTCATTAGACATATAGTGAAAGCCTTTCTGGGCCATCATGAATGGCTGAGGCAGTCTTTGCAATGAATGATGCTTCGCCCTCGATTCACTTGCTTCCAAATGCTGTGTCAGTTTCCCACGATCGAGTTCGATTCCGCGGAGCTCAACGCTCCGCCTTCGTAAGTGGGAGTATTAGCTTGCAGGCAATAGACTTCCGCTCATCGTTTTTTTGCAGCCCGCCCCACTGTGCCTCATCTATGCTCTTGTCTTCAGGAGGTGCTTGCGACCATGCTTCTGCCCGATGCTTACAATCCAACATGCAGTGGACAACGCCTTCCTATCCTTGTTACGCTGCCAGCACCTTCCTTTCACCTTAGGCCTCATTTCAGGGAAGCAACCATTCATTTGACGCAACTGTCACAGACTGGGATCTCCAGATCCTTGAAACACGAAGACGGCACAACATCCATGAGACTCGAATCATCCATCCACTGCAGTTCATTACTTACGGTCGATTCTCATCCATTTTTACCCCGAAGGCTGATCTCAGCATTGCGACACTTTCGTGCCACCCACCCTCACGTACAAGGGCGCTACACTTTTTCTTATTCCCCATGGCAGGGTTGAGAATCTTCCACTCTCTCCTCACTAAACTAGTGATCGGCATGTTCATACTTGCGACTTCCGTATTATCTCATGCCTTCCCAAAGGCACCTACCCTTGCACCGTTACCAGTCCAGGCCATTCATGCAACTCTCCTAAACATCGATCCTACTGCCCAAGACATATCTCGAGCGGTCCGCTCAAAGGAATTGGTCAAGGATTTCACCGAAGAAGAGACTGGGAAGAAGCTCAAGAGTTCGAACCGCTTGTCCATCGGAATTGTATTTGGTATCCTGGGAGCAGTAGCGATCGCAAGCTCGTACTTCGCTTGGCGTCATGAGCGCAAGGAAAAGGAGTCGAGGAAGGCCCTTCAGAGATTGCGAAAGCTGTGGAAGCATTCAATACGCAGGAAAAAGACTCCTATGCCCGTTAAGTCCCCTGAGCATGACTCTACGGAAACCAGCATCGACATAGAATACTTCTGCCGCGAGCATGGAACCACGAACAATGCAGATTCCAATGACAATGGACGACTTGGCAGCTCTGGGAATGGATTCTTCAGACTATACAGAAGTAACATCAGTCCTGGGATGAGGAGAAACGCAGTTCAAACTGTTTGAGAGGAGCTGTTAGATATTCATATCGTCAAGAGTATCAATCAAAGTTCTGGAGCAACTGGCAATTTTATTCCATCAATGTCATGGAAGATGAAGTTCTTCTATTCAATGGATTCACAAGTTGTTTTCAACAAACATGACATTTCCCGCATTACAATGCGATGTCACTCCATTATCGGCTAATGTCTCTAGGGATGGGTCACAGCGTCCGTCCTCTGCTTCACCCCGATTTCAGAAATCACAGCTTCGCCGAATACTGTTGCACGCCATCCTGGAGCAGTTTAACGACTTCCTTCGCCCCACGCTCGCCAGCCAACACAGCGCCCTCCATATACCCCTTCCACTCGTACGCTGTTTCCGTCCCAATGAAATGAAGATTCTTGAATGGACGTCTCAATTCATTTCCCAATCTTGCCCACGTCCCACCAGGTGCCACCATCGGGCAAGGGGCACCCTCACTCCACGGCTCCGGTAGCCACTGTTTCTCGATTGCACGCACGGTATCATATACCTTTCTCCGCAAATCGCTCTGTTCAGCTGCGGAGATCATACTCGCGAGCTGATCCTTGACGACCTTGACCCGCTGTGATGGTGGCAGCCTTGACCATTTCACTGCATAATCCCCGAAGATGAGACATCCGATTGCGTAAAGTCCGTCCTCGTCAGACGAGACATCACGCGAGAATGCCACTGGTCCTGAGAGATCTGTGAAGCCGCCGTTGACACCTGCTTCACGCCACCATGGAGTGGAGTACACGAGGATACATTTCGAATAGGCGCCTAGATGCGTGGCGCCAATTATTTCTTGCTTTTCGAGTGGCAGCGGAGGTGAGAACCGAATATGTTTGTACAGTGGTGTTGGTATGGAGATGAGGACTTTTCGAGCCCGGAACACCGAGCGAGATAGGGTTTCGACCAAGGCTCCATCTGCCGTTTGTGTAATGCGGGTTACTGGGCTGTTGAGGTAGACAGAATTAGGTCTTAGATTTGCGGCCAACCGGATCGATATTGTTTGGTTACCTATGATGGAACAGTCAGACTGGGGGCTAGTTTTTCTTGGTCATGCATGACAGATCAGTGGTTTGTTCCTGGGTCTCACTTACCGTGCCGATTCCTCATGTATTGTGCGCCCGCTTCTCCATCAGTGAGCAAACTGTCCAATCCACCACCGCTCTTGATATAGTCAAGTATGTACACGAGACCAATATCATCCGGCTCGCATCCCGTGAGCGCGCGGAACCAAGACGTCCACACCGTGAACATTCGTCCCGTGGCACCGTGCTTACGCAGATACTCACCCAATGACACGTCTTCGATGTGGATATTGGCCGTCGAGTCATAGAGATTGATGTTCTTGGCATCCTCGTCCAGAGAAGCCCAGATGGCGCCGAACGTCTCCGTCTCCTTTTCATCCAACTGCAGTAAGTCAGGCCAGGGGACGACCTTGGTCTGGGAGGCATTATCGTCGCGAAAGAACGCATTGCCCTCGACACGCTGCACCAATGCCTCGAAGCCGAAGCGCCTGTACAGCTCGAACATGCGTGGCTGGGTCTTGTCGTTGATCCAGGCGGCGCCGACATCAAGCACGCCGTTGCCTACCTTCACAACCTCGGTCTTCCCACCAACCCGGCCCTTGGCCTCGAGAACCACATAGCTCAGCCCGGCATTGTGGACATCAGTCGCCGCCTGCAGGCCACTCAACCCTGCGCCAACAACCACCACATCAACATCCGTGATCCCCACCCCAGCGGCCGGGACACCCGCACCATCAACCGTCGTCTTCGCCGGCGCCGGCGCCCTCACAGCAGCGACGACCTGAATCTCGATCTTGAACTGCGGAGCCGCAAGGGCGGGGACCGGCACAAGCGTTCCCGGGGGGGTGTAGGTGCCGGCGACGTCGGACAGGAATTCGGCGTACAGCGGCCAGATGGCGGCGGAGCGCTCGGCGTCGTAGTCGACGATATACGTCGTGGCGTGCACGATGTTGCGCACCGTCGCGCCGACCTCGGCCAGGCACGTTTTGATGTTCGCGAGCGCCTGTCGCGTCTGCTCCACCAGTGTGTCCGGCACGTTGCCGTCCTTGTCGCTGCCCACTTGGCCCGCGAGGTAGATCATCCGGCTGCCGGGTTCGGTCGCCGCGACGTGGGCGTACAGTGCTGCTGTGGGGTCTTGCAGCGCCGCTGGGTTGTGTAGTCGGATTGGAGCCGACATCATGTGTGAATGTGTATGTGTCTGTGTATGATGGTGGTTTGTTGCTGGATGCACACTCAACTCACTGAGTATTGGTGTTTCCTTTACTTACCTAACACTGTGACTACTTAACGACAATGAGGCCAGTGTAGCTGGTGTAAGTGCGGCCAATGTGGGTCTATCAGAGACTAGGTATGGAATGCGACTGAGTCCATGGCTTCTGGACGACACCTAAGCTATTATATGAGACGGCTCGAGGACGAGCAAAGCATCTAAATCTACTCGGTACTCCGTCAACGATAGAAGACTAAAGCCAACGGTGAAAAGTTAAGCGCGATGTCGACTGGATTGATTTCGGTTATCGAGGCCGGTGAGCTATTCTTCCAAAAACAGCAGTTAGTTGTCTGGGAGATAGTCGTTACCGCGCATCACACCGTGAAGAAGGCGTCCAAGTAGGGTCTCGTAGCATATCACATCACCAGTTTCGGACATTTCCGGCCGGTCGGTTCCCTTTACTTGACATCTTAGAAATCATGCGAGTTTCCTGCCTCATTAAGGGTTGAAGCTTGACACGCTGGAGGGGAGGGGATTGATCGACTATCTTGTGACTAGACGCCCTTATCGATAAGTGGAAAAGCGGGGTATCATGCAGGGGGAGAGAGGAGATGGTAATCTGCAAGGCAAGGCTGTGGAGGAACTACAAGTTACCGAATTGAAGACCCCGTTGTTTTCTACAAGTTACCGAATTGAAGACCCCGTTGTTTTACTCATCAGTCTGGAAGCAATCAGATGTGCTCTATGTGTACAAATTGCATCATATGGATCCGAGCATTCTCGTTGACTCTTATCCTAGCGACCATGAAATCATCAACCAAGGCTGAGCTTGACATCTTTTTCAAGCATGACCTTCTCAAGGCCATAAGGTCCATAGGCAGTATCGTCCTGCCACACCCATCTCAAAACCCTCAGCATCTGTTCAATGCAGGACATTCGTTGTATCATTGAGTTACTGATCTGACTCATATATTCCTGTCGTGAACGATCACGTAAACATGATCCAATCAACATGACAGGCCACGACAGAGTTGTCCACTCCGAACAAGTGACTGGGAGAACTTTTGTCAGTATCAGGAATTGAGCAAGATGTGGCTCGACCAAGGAAAAGAGCCGCTGATCTGCCTGGCTCGGGCCATGCTCCGTGCAAATGAGATAGATAAAGAGAGCTTGCTGATATAGTAGTGCCGCAATCTTCAAACTGCCAGACCATTCAACTTGTGACTTTTTTGGAGGTTGCCAATTTTCCAGCTTCGCATGAATGGCTCTAAAGACTGCTGGAGAGGGGTTGTCATCAAGGTAGCGAGAAAAATAAAGTTGTCGAATTTGTGGGATCAACTTATAAAGATCATAAGCATAGCCAAACATAAAGCCATCGAAATGGTGATGGTGCTGTGAGGACTCAACAGTCTCAAGAAGTGCCGGTATCACTGCAGTCGGTGGTTGCATTTTCATACCTGCCGGTATGTTCCTTGAGACGAAGGTATGGTAAATAAATAACTCAATCAGGAATCTGTACGATGAGTCTGAGGGGTTAATGAGGTAAGAAGGCATGCTGCTCAGGATTTCTCCTGCGGCTTCCAGGTGGTGAAGCACAGCACCATGAAGATTACCTTCGACGCACTGGAAAGGAGTCAATGATGAGAAACCTCAGGTAAGGGGGGATGCGTTCTTCGTACCTCGTACTGACAGAGCATTAACAGTAGAGCAACGAGGGCGCCAGGATTTTCGCACGCTCCACGTGAGAATCTGGTAATTTGATGCTTTGCCGAACGCAATGCAATAGCATAATGCTCTCGAGCGAGTGAAAGGGCCGAATCGTCTCCTTTAGAGCTAGCATAGTGGGACGCACTAGTAGCTAGAACTGCATGCATGACATAGTCGTGCGCCACAGCAAGGGACAACAAACTCGTAGCGTAGGGGTTTTGCGGAGTAGGACGTGCAGCGAGCATTGCTGCAGTTGACTCGTAGAAGTGTTGAAATAATCGTTGCGCTCCTGGTGTGGCGAGTGTCGAGGGATACCTCGAGGGGGATTTGACCATCAACTTAGGGTATAAAAGATAGTCTGTGACTGAGTCGTCCGAGATAGTGGCACTCGAACATTCCTCTGCTTCGCCCTCGGAGGACTGGTCGAAGTCCAGCTCCAGAAAGCCAGAGATTGGAGGTGAAGGGGTCGTAAGTGAGAGCCTCTTGCTTTGCGGAGTGTCGCAATCCGAGGCGCTTATATCGCTCTGATGTTTTGCAAAGCTCAGGTCATTCCCCATGGCAGATTTTGGCCATGTACAGATCAAGAAATTTCGACGACATCCAATGCACGAGGGCTTCTCTTCAGAGCACCGTTTTCGACGTGCTCTGCAGGTGAGGCATCCTGCTCTGGACCGCGTATGAAAACGTCGCGTCCTTCTACAAGCTTGTGTTTTGGACTCCATGGTTTTGGAGGCTCTCCTGACATGGTGGACAGTTGGTCCCAACTCACTCGAGTTATGAAGTCGTTAGAGGCAGACGAGGGCTCCACTCAAGGATGGAAGGAACGATGAGGGGCACGCAGGGTGAGAACGGGAAGGAGCTTTCCTGTTAGCTAAGCAAACAGTAGGGGTCCCCTCGTCCTTATCGATAAGCGCGTCTATGCCAGGCTGGTTGCCACCTAGTCCCGATGATTGCGCATCAGACAACAGACACTTAAGTCAGCAAGTAACTGGTTAAGTGCCACCCAAGTGCTGAGACACGGGCGGGCTTCTCGTACAAGAGTTCATTGATAACTGTGAGAAATGAGACCAATTAGCGTAACATTTCAGACGGAAAACAAGTAAGATACTCCTGGCACTTTGGTTCCTTCTGAACATCGCTTCCAGTCAGTCTATTATCAAATGTCTAAGGAGTTGACCCCAGATGATATCTCTGGCGAGACTTCCATTTCTCATCCTATATCAATTTCCAGAGCTGCGAACACTCGTGTGAGTGTTTTGACGTTTTAACTCCACGGCAATTTCTCTTCGTAACTTTTCGACAAGTCCTGACCATGATATCGTTGTCGAAGAGCCACAAAATGAAAGATGCGATTCCTCAGACTCTCATCAGAAAACTTGGCGAGGACTCTGGCCCTGAATAGATCTTCATTCCAACCCCTCGCAAGTCTCTTGTCAGCAAGAGCAGGCCCGACCCCGTAGATGTCCTTCTTCCACGCCCCGAAACCCCTCAATCTATCCCCTTCCTCTATCTCTGCCATCTTGACCGAATCAAATGGCGGATTGATCCCTATGAATTTGGTTTCCCCAAACCACTGTAGAGCTGGAGCATGAAGGTCCAAAAACCTAGCCCGCTTGAACTCGTGAGATACTATGATTAGCTTGTTGGGAAAGATTGCTTGTGGGGATTCCTTGGTACTGAGACTGCATGCGTGACCTTGAAGTTCTTGTACGAACAGTGGGAATTGAATCAGAGAACAGAGAATATTTTGATATGAGTCCGTGGCGAAGCGGTCGACGAACATTCGTTGCGAGAGAGCCGGGTCCTTGCTCCCAAAAAGCTGCTGCTCAAGAGCTACGTTCTGGTTGGGAATGTTGGAATCAGCACCAATTCTTACGGGAGGACAAAAATGTAATTGAACAATTCTCAGGCAGTATCTCGTGCCCCGCCATCCACAGAGGAACAGCTAATGGTCCGTTTCATCAAGAACACTTACCAAATAACCATCGCCCTCAGTCTTGTCCGTCAGCTGTGGCTTGGTAGCACCTCCGCTAAACACCAGGATCGCGTGCTCGTCAGCAGCAAGAGCCTCCACTCCGGCCTTGATATGTGAAATGTATGTCGCGGTCTCACCCTTTTGAAAAGGCTCAATCAGCCAGTTGGCTTCATTGTCGCTGGGAAGTTCAACGAATGCAGCCGATTCATTGGAAGCTGGCTTCGCAGACGTGCTTGAAGACCCGGAACCTAGATAGATAGCATGGCAGCACACGACAATCAGATGTTTGATGGAAATTTCGGTCTTCAAGTTGGCTTCGCTTGGGGCTTCTGATGGAAACATCATGGGTACTATCAAGTCTTGCTTGTTGAGAGTATTTGTCGTTCGGTATATGACCAACTTAATGTTGTGGGTTTATTCAGATTAGTTCGGAAATGTAAGAATTATAGTTAATCTCAAGGTTCCATTTCGGTAACAACTACGGGAAACTGTTAGATTGCTGAAGCTCGCGATAGCGCTACATTCGAACTTCTCTTGAAGTCTTAGGAATACGAAATTGAATGAGAGAGTATTTTTTTACATTTACTGCCAATTTGCTCATGCTTGTTCGGCGCCAGAGGGACTGCTCTCCGAACAGCCATCTAGTGTCACACTCTGCTACACGGGGCATGTCTCTGTCTGTCTAAGTAGGAGACCTCGCACTCTTTGTCGACTGCGCGACATGTGGAAGTGCTCGGAATTCTTCAACACGCTGTTGAGGTGTCTCTAGTTGCATCATAGAGCTTATAGAATGCCATCCAGTCCACCTTCTCCAGGAAGCCCTCTCCATCGATCATGGGACAGTTCTTGATGTGCCTGCTTGCCGTGATGACAAAAAATGCAATTATGAACGCGAAAAGTCGGGGGAACTCCGTGCAATTAAACTCAAGAAGTCGTGCTGTTGTCGCTAGAAAACGATGCTGTTTGTTTTACATGTGTCAAGAAGGGAAATGTGTTGTAGGGGTTGGAACCCCGGAGATGGTGTCTCATTCATTCATTACCATGGAGATAAGTGCATTTGTCGCCCTTGAGACACTTGCCTTGCTCCCAGAATGTGCAAATCATCGTTTTGTAATTGTATGGTCTGGACTGATCACCGGAGAAGCCAGCTTTCTTTTTCTTGTTGCCGCCTTTTCTTGTAGAGTCGTCGTAGTCGTTCGAATCGTTCCTGGCGTGCTTTCGAGAAGGATCATCAGGTGGGGGAGCGAATGAAGATGTAAGACCACTGAAGCCTATTGGCAAGGCCGGGGCCTGTGATTGAGGTTGAACTGGTTGTTGTTGCATCGTTGCCAAAAATGCAGCCAGGTCGAAGCCTACGACAGGAGCAGTATTCTGAACTTGCTGTTGGTATTGTGGCTGGGGTGGTTGGCCAGTCAATTGCTGCTTGATCTGCTGCACTGTAGCTAGGAGGGCTGGATTTGCATGAGCCCCTCCTGGTGGTGGGGTTGGCTGGTTAGGTTGATTTTGCTGGCTATGTCTCTGGAAAAAGAGTTGAAGGTCGGTGCCGATCTCGCCAGATTGGACTTGGGGATTTCCAGGTGCTAACTTGCCATTGCCAGATCTCGAACGCTGTTGATGATCTAGATACTCTTTCTCTCGGGTCCTGACTTTCTCGTTCGGTTCACCAAAAGGAATCTCGGGTTCAGCAGGCTCAAAGTCGCCCTCATCATCGTCGGGTTCTTTGGGGGTTGGGGGCCGATCAGCTTTGGATGCATAAGTCGCCATGACTGCTTCCAATTCGTGCTTGTTTTGAAGTTCACTGCTGGGGCTCGTTGGTATCACGGGTCCGCCGACCTTAATAGGATTGATGAGAGATGGGTTCAGATCAGGATTGTCGCCAACCATTTCACTGAAATCAATTTCAGAGGGCGGTGTGAAGGGTTCAAAATCATCGAAAGAGTCCTCATCTTCCTCTTCATCAATGTCGTTCATGCCTTGGTGAAGTTTCAGCATTTCTCCTTCACGTCCTGAATCACCTGCATCACGCATTTGGCTGTCGTTATGACCGACCTCTTCACTGGGGTCGTGAGTGAAGAGACGAGTTTCGACAAGTTCAGCGTCCGACTTCCAAGTGACCCTCAATTTGCGTCTCTCCTCCTTTCTGAGTCGTTTTACCCTTTCTTCTGGGGTTTCGTTGGGTATGTCGCTCTCCTTTTTCACTGTCTTCTCTGGCTTCTTCTCAATGTCGGCTAGCAAGCCGAGAAACGAGGACGCGCCTGTCTTGGCCAATGGTACCGTGATATTAGAACTGCGTGGAGGCGAATCCCGCTTGATACTGTCTTTGGCCTGGGAAATGTTGGTGGTTGTATTCGTACTGGGTGTCTTCTCTTTGGCGCTTGCAGCAGCCGCAGCTCGCGCTGCAAGTGAAGTTCCAGGCTTCTTGGAGGCTGAGAGTAGTGATGAAAACACTGCAGATTTTGGGGGTGCTACTACTGCCACTTTGCCTTTAGCACCGGTGGATGCTGCTGTGACAACTGTACTGGATTTGATGCCATCCTTCAACGCACGACTAGCTTCCAAAGCCTTTCTACGTTCCGCGTTTTGTACTGCCAGAGGTTTGGATGCCACTCTAGCAACCTTTTTCGGTGCTGGCTGAGAAGCTGTCTCGCCCTCCCTTATCCGCTTGGTGCCTGTGACTAAGTCCTTCCGCGTCGCACTCCCTGGACTATCAATAGTTTGTGGAGAAGCAACTTTGCCAGCGATTGCATCGGCCTTCTTCTTTGCGCTTGCAACTGCAGCATTGTCAAGGACAGTCTGTGCTAATGCTTTGGATTCATTGGTCGCCTTTTTGGCAAAGCGTTGTAGAATCTTTGATAACTTGGTCATTTCCAGCATTTCCATATCAAGAGTCTCGAATTTGACAACAAACTATTCACCCGTTAGGTAAAGCTCAAGAATATTTGAGATATAGTTCATTACCTTCAAAATATTGCTGACCAGAGTACTGTCATAGTCTCCGGCATTGAACCGGTCGAGCATGAAGGAATACAAGGCTGACATTGTGAATTGGTTTTCACCCAGTCTATGTAGAATTATCAGTAAAGGGCTTTAATTGAATGATGGCAAGCGAATTCGGGATCTCGCGCAAGAGGACAAGCTTCAGTTCTTTATCGCTCACAGCGGGATGTTGTACAAGATCTATGGACATGCAACTAAGGGTGTGCTCATTATAGCAATGCACAAGAACGTCGTTACCTGGTGGCGTCACCTCATTCTGGATGCCACCGATAGGACATTGCTGCGAATGGTATAGATGCTGGATGGGACGTATGATGTCTATGGAGGAGGGTGACTCAAGTGTGTGATAGGTTTTCTTGGTTTCATAGAAGGAAGTCAGGATTGGAGGATGGACATACCGTTTGACTACAGCTGGATGCCCGAATGTGAGTGACCGGGACATGACAACTTCCATGGAAGATCGATAGCGTGCAGCTTCCTCTTTTAATTTATTTGCTTCTGCTGCTGTTGGAGAGTTGGGCAATTCGGCCTTGCGTAGGTTATCGTTCTTGAGCTTCCATGCATCTCTTAAGCTTCGAATGGTGTCACCGAAGCCAGCGATACCACTGCGGATTGTTTCCGCAGGTGCAGATTTATTTCTGGGGGACCATACAGCGCTTACAGCATCATAAATAGCCTTGCCTCGTTCATCGGTTGGGGCAGACACCGTCAATACAGCAGGTGTCATTTCTGGCTCTTCGTCTTCAATAGATAGCTCATCAGCGCTGGAATCGTCGGAGACCAGGCTGTCAGATTTGGGCGCGGTGGAAAGGCCTTTCTTGGCCACTTTCGTCTTCTTTGGTACATGTGGATCTTTTAACAACATGGGGTTTGTGACAAATGCTGAATTTGTCAAGGGTGCTGATCCTGCATCCATTAGTAAAATACTCCGTAGGTTCGTCACGCTCAACTGACCTATGTTTGAGGCTTGTGGCAGTGTGGAGGGTGGCATTTGTTGTAAGCTATGAGTGCCTTGCATAGATCGTGGATCGAAGCCTGTGGCGCCTTTTGAAAAATATGCCGGGAGAAACTGCTGTTGACCCGAGAAATCGGCAGGTCCATCTGAATGAAGTCAGGGGCTGTTTTGATCAAGCAACAACATCACTCACTGGATGAGCTTATCATGCGATTGGCAGATAATAGAGCTGGATCAACAAATGAGTTAGAGGACACTTGGGTTTGATCCTGAAAATTGGCATAATGCATCATGTCTGGGCCCTATAAGTTTGTCAGCATGGTCAATGTGATATTGAGCATCAATCTTCAAGGTGAGTTTACCTGAGCTGGGGGAAGTTGTGATGGGCGCTGTCCAAGGCTGACGTAAGGAGAGGGCTGCTGCTGCTGCTGCTGTTGTTGTTGTGAGGGATAGTTGGTTGGAGTGGAAGTCTGCCTCGGGGGGATGTGCATCTGCTGGGGGCTGAATGTTTGATTGGGATAATTCATTGAAGGCTGGTAGCTGTAGGCATCGAAATTGACAGGAGAGGCTGATGGTCTTGAGAAGAATCGAGGATCGTAGTTGGGTTGCCCAAGTGGTGGAGGGTTGTAGAGTGGTTGCGAGTACTGTGAGTGAGGGAACGAGGGCTGAGGTTGGCTGTATTGAGGTTGGGAGAGCCCTGGGCTATTCGACTGCCTTTGAACATTTTGATTGAATGAATTCTGAGGTATAGATTGAGACTGTTGGGAGAAGCCAGGGCCTATTGTGGTACTCTCAAATAGAGCCGGGTCGAAAAATGAAGAGAAGTCATCACCACCGGACAATGCATTATTATCGGAGTATTGACCTAATCCATCTAGGAATGTATAGGATGGGTTATTTGCATGTTGAGCACCATTCATGGGCGAATTGGTGGATGGATCCATGGTCCTCTGGCACTCAGGCTCAGCCTGGTAAGACTCAATGGAGCACAAGCGAGGTCTCGGTTGGCTGAGTCACGTGGGTTGGCTTGGACAATCACGTGAATTGCGGTGAAGGTTTAGCGCCGAGGGCGGGAAGCAATTTCTGGCTTATGCCGAGGATTTTGCCACTCACAGGCCACACCACGCGCTCGGCTGCATGAAGGACCAAACTGCGAAGACCAGGGAATTGTAGCGTGATTAGGGTCGTATAGAGAGTAAAATCGTAGAATTAAAGGAGGTCGTCCGGATGTGAGTTAGGTTATGGCAGTCAAGAACCTTAGGAGCCCGTCACGGCCAAATTTGGAGTTTGAGAAGATCTGCGAGGTTGGGTGTTGTTAAGTTGGGCCACCTGGCGTGGGTTGCCCCCAAACTCCTGAATCAACCTCAGTTTCCCACTGGGAGAAAAACCCAATCCTGACGATGCCACCACCACCTCAGAAGGCGTCTAGGTATTGACCAAGTTTGAGAAGACACACTAATGGACTCAATCCTCCGTCATTGATGGCTGTACAGGAAGCTTCAAATGACGTTGTTTCTCGACCAGATCAGATATTAGGGAGCAAACAAACGCGCCACAGTCACGCCAGCCTCAACACCCCAACTCCAGCCCACGTGTGAAGCAAGATGCAAGACCATGCAAATGCAATTTCACTTTATTACAGACCACTGTCAGACGCGCTGAAGAAAGATTACAGACGGGATTGGGTTGATTTGAGCGATGAAGAAGATGAAGAAGATGACTGTTGTGATGAGAATGGGAGAAAGAGAATGGCTGAAAGGCGACGTTGATTTCAAGTTTGTCCCGAGTCCAAAGAGGCTAAACCCTACCCGGTTAGACCATCAGCCTCCGCCACTACCGACCATCGTGACTGCCACATACGAGTAAGATAATGACAGATTTTGCCAAGCCACGTACTATGGATGCTAGTTTGGCAGGCACTTGCTGTGGTGCCCTCAGTGAAAGCCATATGCTGCGAGATTCAACACCCTGACACTCAAAGTCGCATGGTACCAAACCTCGATATTCTCCTCATGACTCTTGTTGAATAAAGCCACCATGTCCTCATCTGGATCTTCCTTATACAGAAGATGAGCCTGCAAAGTCCTGTTGACAACTGCAGACGAATACAACCATGGCCGCCCGTCCACTCACACTGCGCGACCGTCAAATAAGTGTGTACCCTATCCCTCGAGACATGACATGCGGAAAGGCACTAACCAGAGCATCAGGTACCATTGAACGCATCCTGAGCTTGAATCACGAAGATACCTCCTCCTCCGTCCCAAGCATCGATGCTCCAAGCAGTCCCCAAGCCACATCCCTGCTGGGTGAAAATGGAGAGCCAATATGGAAGGTTCTTGTTTTCGATAATCTTGGGAGGGACATCATCAGCAGCGTCCTGAGAGTCAATGATCTGCGGGCAAAGGGCGTCACCATTCACCTGTGAGGAGCAACACCCGTTTTGCATGCCAGGCCTGCTTGCTAACACCTTCGCAGTAACATAAACTCCCCTCGCTATCCTATACCCGACGTCCCAGTGCTCTACCTTCTCGAGCCGACCTCACTGAATATTCAGCTGATATGTTCCGATCTTGCGCGAGGTCTCTACACACCCGCCTACATAAATTTCACATCTTCCATCACACGCCCTTTGTTAGAAGAACTCGCCGCTGAAATAGCATCTACCAATACCTCTGATGCAATTGCGCAAGTTTACGACCAATATCTGAATTTCATCGTTGCAGAACCGGATCTTTTTAGCTTGGGCATGGGTAAAGAGTCATACTGGACATTTAATAGCCCTACTGTCGGCGAAGACATTCAAGATGCCGCAATTGACAAGATCGTTAGCGGACTGTTTAGCGTCAGTGTGACAATGGGCTCGGTCCCTGTGATAAGGTGTCCGCAATCCGAGTTGGCAAAGATGATTGCTACCAAACTCGATCGAAAACTCCGAGATCATGTCCTCAACTCCAAAGACAATCTCTTCTCCCCCAAATCCGCCAATGTCTACTCGACCCCTTCACGACCCGTTTTGATCATTTTAGATCGAAATGTGGACCTTGTACCAATGCTATCACACTCCTGGACTTACCAATCGCTCGTCCATGATGTCCTCAAAATGCACTTGAACCGCATCACGGTGGATGTTGCCGACGAAACCAATCCCACAGCCCAACCTCGAGCCTACGATCTCAACGCGAGTGATTTCTTCTGGGCTCGAAATGCAAGCGCCCCATTTCCTCAAGTGGCTGAAGATATTGACGCGGAACTTACAAAGTATAAAACAGATGCAGAAGAAATAACCAAAAAGACGGGTGTGAATAGCATCGAAGATCTGAATGACAATTCTGCCTCCGCAGCCCACCTCAAGGCGGCAATAACATTACTGCCAGAATTGAGAGAGCGGAAAGCCACCCTTGATATGCACATGAACATAGCCACAGCCTTGCTAAAAGGCATCAAGGATCGACAGCTGGACAATTATTTCCAGTTGGAGGAGAGTATCACAAAACAGACTACAGAACAAATGCTGGCACTCATCAATTCCACCGATAAAGGCAACAACGCCTTGGACAAGCTACGAATATTCATCATTTGGTATCTTAGCGTCGATAAAGAGCCTACCAAATCTGAGCTACAGGAATTTGAAACTGCATTAAATACAGCCGGAGTGGGCGACTCAATCGCAGCCATCAAACATATTTCGAATGTCCGCCTTGAGACTCGAGGAACAATGATGGCCTCAACAGTTTCCACATCTCAGCCCACACAAGTCCCCTTATTCGGCGGCCTGTCCTCATTATCCAAGAACTTTACTGACAAGCTGTCCTCCTCGACTTTTGGCAACGTCAATCTTGATGCACTCGTTTCTGGTGTGAAAAACTTCCTCCCGGCAAATCGAGACCTGACAGTGACAAAAATCGTCGAATCGATTATGGATCCTCCAGCGGCATCTTCATCAGCAATTGCAAAGACAGAGAATTACCTGTACTTTGATCCACGGAGCGCCCACGCGCGTGGCACGACAGGAAATAGTGCAGCAAACCCACCATCACGGTCCGGTCCCCAACAAGGGGCCGGTGTGAACCCTAGTTTTGGCCAAAGACGCCAGGGGTATTCAGAAGCCATCGTCTTCACTGTCGGAGGCGGCAGCATGGACGAGTACGGCAATTTGCAGGAGTGGGTGAAAAGGACCACTGGACAGGGTGCAGCTGGATCTGGTGCAGGCGGTGCACCTCGCAATCGCAGGGTCGTGTATGGATCGACAGAGTTGGTGAATGGCGAAGACTTTTTGAACGAGCTCGTGAGGTTGGGCGGCGAGGGTTGAGTCAAGTCTCGAGCTCTTTGGAAGAACTCGTGAGAACAAGATAACAGGGAGATAGAGTTGTCTATGATGGTTTGTTCAAACCAACACCCTTTCGATAGTGGCCTTGGACGGACGCAACTGCCCCCAGAAACACAAATCAATAATGAAAGAAAAACCCGTACCCAGATTTATATATTCATACCATTGATCATCGACTGGTTTTCTAGTAGCGTCTTGCACTGCAATTCATCGCACAGCTCATGGGACGATAGTCACTCAGGTCCACGCATTGTACCCGACAAGATCTACAGGTTCTTAACCAGTAACCAAAACATCCAAATCCCCTTGCCTTGTAGGTCGGTCTGTCCATACACGACTAACTAGTTCGTGTGCCTGCCATAGCATAGCTATCGCCTGCCCCTCCCGAACCGACCCTTGCCTCGTCCCGCCGCCCCTTTCGCCTTGGAGTTCTTGTTGCGGATCTTCAGGCTCCGGAAATTCATGTGTGACTGTGCGTTCGGGTTGATTTTGCGCGTGGTGGTGTTGTCGTCGTTGTCGTCATCGTCTCCTTGGTTCTTCTTCTTTTTCGATTTGGATTGCTCGGTCTGGGTTTTCCATCGCGCTGGTTTGGAAGAGTCGGATTTCTTTCGTCTTTTGATGGGGCTCTCGATGTCGATGTCGATGTCGACATCGACATTGACACTGACTGGTTCTGGTAGGAAGTCCTCGTCGAGATCTTCTTCATCGATGTAGCTGCTGGGTTTTGAATTTTCATGTCGGTCCTTACTCTGCCCGGTCCGCTCCGCTTCTGCGATGAGATACTCGAGTTCGTCATCGTCTGGCTCGGGGAAATCGTCGTATGCTTCATCCGGGATGTATTGCGTCTCTTCGACGCGGGAGGCTTCGTGGTCCGTGGGAGAGGTGTCCTCGTCCTCGTCCTCATCCGCCGCCACGAATTTTGGACCTTCCACAGGTTTCATCTTAGTTGGTCGCATGACCGCCCGTCGTGTTGTTCGCTTTTGTCCCTTTTTCTTCCAGACCCTGCCTTGCTGCTCGTCACCGTGGCTTGGTGCTAGGGGACCGATTCTTTGACTATCTCCCACAAGCACATGCGCCTCTTGAAGCTCGATCTCTCTCATGGCGTCTAAATCGTCATCGTCGTCACTATTACCGTCGTGGTCATTGTGCCCGTGCTGGTCTTGAGTTTGTTGGCTTGCCCGATCTGCAATTATTTGGCTGAGAGGTTTCGGTACAAACTTTGTTTGTTGAGTCCTGCGTGTTCCCATCGTTCGAGTAGATCCTGGGCTCGTTTTGCGGTGTGAAGAGGTGGGCGATCCATTGTTGTCAGACGCAGATAACAGTCTCTCCTTGAAGGAGAACGACCGTTTCAAGTATGGTGGCGTTGCATCTGCCGTGGCGGTAGGGGTCCTTGAAGGTGAAATGCCGAGGACTTGATCGCGTAGTGGTGTTTTGTCCACGGGCGTTTTAGCATGCGGAGTGCTTTCATCTTGTAACATGGTCGCGAACCGGACTGCGCTCGGTGTTGTGAAAAAGTGTTGTAACATGAATCTTTTGCTTTCGCTGACCGGGGTCTTTGAGTGGTTCCTCCTTCCAGTGGCAGGACCAGATTTCGGTGTTGTAGCGGCTAGTTGGGTATCTCGAACGATTGATTTTTCATGGCGTGGTGTTTGCGAGATAGTCAATTCCAGATCTTTCGCCTTGGTGTCATCTTCGTGCAAAGCATCTCTTTTCCTCTTACTTCCCGACGGAGTCTCCTGTGAGCTTTTACGTGAGCCACCGGATGCATGGAGCATGTCGAAGATGCCGAGGATCGTGCCATTGCGATGCGGCGTCGGACCAACCTCGCGGAGTATGGCTTTTGGGGATGCAGACTGAGGAGCATCATAGGGATCGAGCTGGCTTGGGTGGTACCGGCCCTTTGAAGGGGTCTGGTTATGATTTGTCGAATGGGGTTTTATGCTAATCGCGCTGTCTGTTCGACGGTGCTTCCTTTGCCGATTGCGTGCATTCTGTTCTTGTTGCGACAAATTGTTCAGGACTTCTATGCTCAACTTTCCGTCCAAGACGCCTCGCAACTTTCCATGTTCTGTGTACTTGGCTTGGATTCCCGCATTGGCTTTGATATCCTCGCGACCGGGTTTTTGGCCCTTGTGTTGGGCAGCGAACGCACGTTCGAAGGCTTTCAGATCGATTTTCAAGTCATCGACTCGTGATTGAAGTTTGATCTTCTTTGGCGTGTCCAGTAGTGGAAGCGGTGGTTCCATGGCGCATTGTTGCGAAGAAACTCAAAAAGGTGCGGCGGAGGGGTCTCGTAGATATTTACGCGTAGCTCATTTAAGGCGCGCATCGCGACGAGGCTGAACCGAAAGTTAAGGCGGCAGGTTTTTCCGTGCAAAAACGCAAGTCACGTGACAGAACCCATATTCTATTAATTTGTAAATGAATATGCAATTGGTACCAGCTTTACTAGACCTCGTGTGGCCATTTTGAAGGTGACCAACGACCACCGAGATTATGTGGCGTTGACAAGTGTTAAAGAAAGCGATTCACGAAACTTGTACGAAGCGAAATAGAATGAGGTCTGTTGTTGAGCCGATTTCTCGTTCATGGTATTTGATTTTGATTTTTGCTTTGCAATCCAGCTGTCTCGGTTGTGAGACTATGCATAGTCTTGCCTCGTCGTTCGCGTTCTTGAAACCCTTCATGAATTTCCCGTGATGAACCCTCCCTGATGGCTCGCCCACTAGCACACGAATAAAATTTGATTTCGGACTTTAAAACACCGCTTTATGCGACCAATTCAACAACACCACCGGCCTCCTTGATCTTGCGTTCTGCTTCCTTGCTGACCCATCGTGCGCGGACAACAATTGGGATCTCTGGGAGTCGACCTTTGCCGAGAACTTTGGAAAATCCGAGTGGTAGTAGGTTGAGAACGGGGGCGGTATCAGTCTTCTTGCCAGAAATGTAGGCTTCACGAGTCTCTTCGGGAACCAATGACCAGAGCTTTTTCCAAAGTCAGTTATGTCCTTTCTCAATTAGGTTCGTAGGGTATCTTGCTAACCTTGTCGAGATTGATCGTAGGCTTCCAGTAGTGGTTTCTCTGCAGGTGGAAATGTCGCATACCGACCTTACCGAAGTAACTGCGCCCTGTTAGTAAGGGTGGTTTTGCGCATGGCCACATAGAAGAGGTGTTTTGGTAGTATCTCGACCATGGCTATCCAGTCATGACTTACCCAGGATGATATTTGTCCATGTTGGT